CACAGGGGCTGACCCCGTGGCCAAGTGGTTAAGTTCACACACTGCACTTCGGCAGCCCAGGGTTTGTCAGTTTGGATCCTGGGTGTGGACCTACACACCATTCATCAGGCCAAGCTGTGGTGGCGTCCCACATAGAAGAACTAGAAGGACTTACAACTAGGATATACAACTATGTAACAGGAGCTTTGGGGAGGGGAAAAAAAGAGGAAGATTGGCAATAGATGTTAGCTCAGAGCCAATCTCCCCCCACCCGCACAGAAAAAAGAACTGCAAAGAAATCTTAAATTAAAAAAAAAAAAAGTATCCACAATTCCTATTTTCTTGAGTGTTTTTATCAGGAATGAGTGTTGAATTTTGTTGAGAGCATTTTTGCCATCTATGGAGATAATCATAGATGTTTGTCCTTAGATTTATAAATGTGGTGTATTATATTAATGAATTTCCTAATGTCAAGCCAACCTTGCATTCCTGGAATGAATCCACTTGGTCATGATGTATTCATTTCTTAATGTGAAATTAGAGTCAGTTTGCCAATATTTGATTTAGCACATTTGCATCAATAGTCAAAGGTTTGTAATTTTATTTTTTATTGTACTTTCCTTATCAGAGTTATGTGTCAATGTTATACTTCTTAAAAAGAATTAGAAATTTTCCTTCACTGTCTATATTCTAGGACAATTTATGGGGCATTGGTGTTATCTGATCTTTAAAGATTTGGTAGAATTTCAATTTAAAACCATGTGGGCCTGGTGCATTTTCCTGGGGTTGTTACTTGATAACTTTCTCTATTTCTTCTGCAGAAATTGATCTTTTAAGGTTTTTATCTCTAGTGGTCAATTCTGGTAAATTATATTTTCCTGAAAAAAATATACTTGATTGAGGTTTTCAAATTTATTTGAATATAGGTATTTCTACCACTTTTATTTAATTAGTTCCCCTCTGCCACCCCAGGGAGCCACTTTCTGGTATTTATCAGTATAGATTAGCGTGGCCTGCTGTTGGATTTCATATAAAAAGATGCATAGGGACGTACTTTTGTGTCTGGTTTCCTTTACTTGACACAATGTTTTCGAGATTCATCTGTGTTTTTGCATGATCTGTGGTGTGTTCTTTTTCGTTGTGTAATCGTGTTCCATGTGTGATTATGCTGCGGTGTGCATCCTCCGGTTGAAGGATGTTTGGGGTATTTCCAGTTTTTGACCATTATGAGTAAAGCCACTAGGAACATTCTTGTTCGAGTATTTTTTGTGAACACACCCATTTCACTTGGATAATTGCTAAGAGCAGAGTTTCTGGGTCGTGGTGCAGATGCGTGTTACTTTTATAATGAGCTGCAGAAGTTTCCAGAGTCATTGCAGCATGTTACGTTCTCACCAGTCGTGCTTCTCGTCCTCACCAACAGTCACTGTCGTCAAGTCCTTTCGACTGTGGCCATCCTAGTTTGTGAAATGGTATCTTAATGTGGTTTTAATTCACATTTCCCTGTGACTAATGATGTTGGACACATTTTCACGTGAATACTAGGCATTCCTCACTCTTTTGTAAAGTATCTGTTTGAACCTTTTGCCTAGTTTTAAAAATTGGATTATTCATATTTTTATTGTTGATTTGTAAAAGTTCTTTATATATTCTGGATAAAGTCCTTTGTCAATGTACTATCAATATGTTTTTTCCTCAGTCTGTGGCTTGTCTCTTTATTAATTAACTAATTTATGTTTTATGAGGAAGATTGGCCCTGAGTTAACATCTGTGCTAGTCTTCCTCCATTTTTGACGTAGGATGCTGCCATAGCATGGCTTGACAAGCACTAGGTCCGTACCAGGGATCTGAACCTTCAAACCCTGGGCTGCTGAAGCAGAGTGCATGAACTTACCCACTCTGCCACCAGGCCAGCCCCATTGTCTTTAGTTTTTAATGATGTCTTTTAATAAAGTCCAATTTATCAAGTTTTTTTGCTAAGGGTTAGTGTTTTTATAACCTATCCAAATCTGCCTACTGCAAACTCACGAAGATCTTTTCCTGTGTTTTCTTCTGGAAACTTTATGATTCTTGGGGTTTTGTGTTTAGGTCTAAGAGATCTCTTGAATTGATCTTTGTAGTGGAATGAAATGGGAGTCAGGCTTCATTTTCTCTGTACAGATAACCAGCTGTCCCAGACACATTGGTTTAACAGACCTTCCTTCCCTCTGGGATTGGCCTGGCGCTTGATTGAAGGTCAGTTTGTCTGTCCTTATGCCAGCACCACGCTGTCTAGATGCCACAGCTTTGTGGTAAGTCAGGAAGTCAGTTAGTACGAGACCCACAATCTCATTCTCCTTTAACATGATTGCTTTGGCAAGTCTGTGCCATTTGCAATTCCATATAAATTTTAGAATCAGCTTGACAATTTCTACAAAAAGAAAAGAACCCACCTGTGACTATGGTTGGGATTACATTATATCTACAGATTAATTTAGGGAGATTGAATCTTTCAATCCAGGGACGTTGCTTATCTCTTAGCTTATCAAGGTCTTCTCTCCACACTGTTTCATAGTTTTCAGTGTGTAGGTCTTGCACATCTTTTATTAGATTTATTCCTGGATATTTTATGTTTTTTGATCTGGGTCTGGAGTTTTCTTTGTGGGAAAGTTTTGATTACAAATTTAATTTGTTTAATAGATATTTATTTAGATTTTATAGTTCTTCTTATATCACTTTTGTTAGTGTTTTTCAATGACTTTTTCCATTTCATTTACATTGTTAAATTCTTGAATATCATTCTTAATGTTTCCTTATCCTTTTAATGTCTGTAGGATCTGTAATGATGTATTCTTTTAAATTCCTGGTGTCAGTGATTTGTATTTTTATTGATCAATCTTTCTAGGGGTTTATCAATTTTATTACTCTTTTCAAAGAACCAAATTTTGACTTTGTTGATGATTTTTATTATTTGACTGCTTTAAACAATTTTCATTGATTTTTCACACACTTTTACTTTTCCTCCCTCTACTTACATTGGATTTAATTGGCTCTTCTTTCTCTAGTTTCTTGAGGAGGGTTAAACATATTTTTCCTTTTAAAATAGTCATTTTAAGCATGCTGGGACTTGGTGTTGCCTTTTCTGCTTGTTTGTAATTTGAAGTTTATCAGGTGTCTCTGTTCTCATTTTAATGAGGGCCTGGATTTGAATTGTTTGACTTGTTCTTGTTGTGCTCTGTCATTTTTCAGAAGTGTGGGGATTTGGATTTCAGTGACTGCTGTTATCCTGTGCTTCCTGGAAATCATCAATATCAGCAGTTTAAAAGCTCTTAGAAACTGATATTTATAAATGCTAATAGAAAAATTAGCACATGCATGGGAAGTTTACCAGAGAAGAAATACAGGTTACCAATGAATGTCTGAAATGTTTTCAATCTCATTAATAATCAAAGAAGTGAAAATTATAATAATGGTAAAATAATTTATCACTTTTCAAATTGGCAAAGATTTAAAAGAAAAAAAGGAAAGGAAAAGGCACCCAGCATGGCCAGGAATTAAGGGAAATGAAATTATGGTAGATGCCGATAGCCACAGACTTTATGGAGGCTCACTCGAGGTCTCTAAATGTCGACGGTCTGAACGTTAAAAATTGAAATATTTATGCACTCCACTGTCCGGTGCCTCAGCCTCCCGCACCTCCAGCTCCTGGCCGCGTAGAGTCATAGCTGTTCCTGCCTCGTGGACGCGATGTGGAGTTGAAGGAGACGTTCCACAAAGGGCGCCTGACACTCAGGAAGACCTCCTAGTGTGTGCTGCCACTTTCTCTGTCATGATGAAGAAGAAGATGACAGATGGTAGAATGCCCACTGGCCATGTGGTCAAGTGGCTGTGGTGCTTTGCGCATCTTCACTGGTGATGATCCAGAGAAGCCACTGCAGGGTGGGGCCAGAGGTCTTGCCTTTCAGGTGAAAGAAGACTCTCTCTCAAGCACAACACAGCTACGTGTGTTACTTTTCTCCACACACAAGTCCCACGATAATTATGGCTAGAACTGAGATTTAATAATCATAAAAATATTGTGAAGACACATTAATACATTTAAAATCCAGATGAAATGGATGCATTACTAGAAAATATTTTAAGATGCCCTAGTCGATCTAAGAAAAAATTTAAAAACTTGAATAATAACAACCATTAAACAAACTGATGTGATAGCAAAATCTACCTGTTTTCACTTCCTGTCTCCCCACAATGTGCCCTAACTGGATGATTAGAGCTGAGGAGAACCAAACATTCAAGGAACGCAGCACCCTCGTCTTAAATAAGTGGGTCCAGAAAATGAAAGAAGAGGGCAAGGAGTCTGACTCATTTTTTGGTGATTAGGTGTACTTGACACCAAAATAAGGAGAGAAGCTTCTAGGCTGGCTTTCCTTAAATACAGATGACTGTCTCCTCAGTAAAATGAACCAATTCCAAGAGCATATAAGAGAATTATGATCAGATAAGGTTGACTGCATATACGAAAAATGATTCATCATCAGAAAATCCATCAGTTTTCACCACACTAACAGACTGAAGAAAACGTCTGTGACTATTTCAGTAGATACAGAAACAGCACTTGATGCCTTTCAACGTTTTTTCATGATAAAAACTCTTAGAAAAACCAAAATAGAAGAAAGTGCATGAAGGGGGAAATCCACATGGGTGAAATAAAGGTTCCTGTTTTGTTTCAGTACTGATGGTATCTTGTCATGATGATGTCTATATTTTATAAAACATAAATTTGAAATAAGCATTAGGAGAACCCAAGTCTGAGGCTTGCAGACCATGACCCAGTTCTCAGGTCACCCGCCAACTTGGGTCTGTTTCAAAAGTGTCATAAATAAATCAGAAGTGGGAGTTTCTGAGGTTATGAATACAGACTACAAAGCAGGAGAAATGGTTGAAAACTCAAGCAAATCAATGCTTGCACTTTTTCATTTTGAAAAATTGTGATTTCACTAGTGTGCCTAGGAGCCAACTCAACTTTTTGTCTCTTCCAGTCCCTCCATGGCTTCGCTCTGGTCGTGAGCGCGGAAGGCATGATATTCTACGCATCAGCAACCATCATGGACTATCTGGGCTTCCACCAGGTAAACGCAGCTTTTGATCTGCTGCACGTTAGCTTCTGTCACCTTGTAAACACGTATTGTCTTCGAGGTTTGAAACATCTCTAAAATCAAGCTTTTCTTATCACGGAGCTTTTATCAGACAAAGATTCCACACCCAGCTGTGTCTGGGGCTCGGAGTCACAGCGAGAGACCCAGGTGTCCTGAGAGTGAGGGCAGCGACTGTGCTGGCTGTGGCACGGCCTGGCGCTCCACACGTGGTACGTGGCCGATTGGCACTGGGGGTGGACCTCTCCTCACCCTCAGTGTCGATTCTTCAGCCCCAGACGCATGGTACATTCGGGACAGTGTGTGTTCTGGAAATGCCCTTCTTCGCATGCAGGTAATTCGCTGGGAGTGCTGTCCCAGGCCAGCCCAGGTCGGTGATTCTAGACGTTGAGGCGGAGGCAGAGGTTGGGGCCCATCCCACCCTGGGATCCTAGAAGGGCGGCTCCTCCAAGAAAAGGTGTGAAAGTCCCACCCAGGGCCCGGGAGAGGAGACGGGCTTCTCTGCCGGCTCTGGGAAGGAGAAGACTCCTGTGAGAAACACAGAGCTTGAGTCTGAAACCCAGATCTGAGTTTGCCAACTGCAGACTGCAGCCTCCTGAGCCTGGAGTTTAAACTGGTCGTGGACGATGAGGTCGCTGGGGCATGTGACCCTTAGCTGCACCACCACAAGCCGCCCCATGGAAGTATCCACTCTGAAGAGGAGCTCACAACACAAAGTTACAGACGCACAGGAAGCCTAAGCCCTAACAGAGTGCGCTCTCCCTGAAGAATCTGAGACCCCCAACAGGCGGATTTGAGAAAGAACAAAATAGCACTCTGAGAAAGAAGAAAACTGTGTGTCAGTCAGGGTCCCGTCTGGAGGCAGAAACTGTGCAGTGCTTTGAACAGTTTAATATAAAGAATTAATCTAAGTTTAGTATAAAGAATTGTTAACTAGTAACATGGGATTAACAATAAAGGGGTGCAGACTTAGCGGGGGAGGCAGTGCCGGCGGGACTGAGGCTGGGCGCCCAGCAGGGAGCACATTTTGGAGACCCCCACCCGACATTGGCACAAGTAGTGTCATGCTGGCCAGGAGGAAACCACCCCTGGGGACGTTGGCGAGACTTGGGGAGGTCACTGGGAGCTGCCCCTGATGCAGCCGACACTCGAGGGGACTCACCTGCTGCCTGCAGGGCCCCGGGACCTTTGCTGGCAGAGGGGAACTGTTCGCAGGACCTGGGGTCAGAGCCAAGCAATGAAAGGGGGTTTGGATCCGAGAGGCAACACGTGGAGTATATAATGAAAACCAAGGGGTGCCCGGAAGCGAGGGTGGTGGAAGCCCAGACTGGAGTACGTGGATCCTGATGCGTTGTGGACATTCTAGTCTGCTTCCGGCCCCTGAGGCTGGCGAAGCCTCTGATCTAATTTCCATCAAAACCACCTTTTTTTTTTGAGGAAGATTGTCCCTGAGCTAGCATCTGTGCCCACCTTCCTCTATTCTGTATGTGGGATGCCGCTACAGCACGGCTGCTGATGAGCAGTGTAGGTCTGTGCCCAGGAACTGAACCCGGGCTGCCAGAGTGGAGCATGCAGGCTCAGCCACTAGGCCATGGGGCTGGCCCCACTGAAAACCATCATTTTGAATCGTTTCCAAAACTGAAGTAGCTGTCACTCTGCAGGTGATTCTGAGAAGCACTTCCTCTGACACCCACCTCTAAGTTTACTTTCCTACCCGTGAACCCAAGGGCAGGATGACTGCCACACCCTGTCCTGACCAGGCTTCTTTCCTGTCACTGGCCCTGGGACAGTCCTTTGGCCGTCCACCGTACCCAAAGCATCTAGCTGCAGCTGATCACCTGGCCTGAGTTGGCACCTGCAGCCATTGAGGTGTGGCCCTGGTGGAGGACCCCACGGGATGGGGCCAGCGATGGTGAGTGAATCGAGTGGTGGGCGTGACCTCCACAGAGCCTCACCCCGGGGCTGCCGCCTCAGACTACACAGTCCAGCCTCGGCTCTGTCTCAGCAGTTAGGTGACCGCGCTGAGCCTCATTTTCCTTCACTGATGGGACAACAGAAGTGTCCGCCTCCGAGGCTGCTGCTGGGACATTGTGGGTCCCTGAACGTGCAGAGCGTTTGGGAGGGCGTTGCGCCTGTGACACATCTCTATCACCAGGCTGTCTCAGGGGTGGCTGCCCAAGGCATTTCTCCCCTTGGCGGCTCCTGACAGCGTGTGAGGCCAGGAGCTCCGCCACCGTGTCCGACTCCTGAAGATGCCGGGTCTTGGGAGAATGGGAATGAGTCATCATCCCTAAGACCCTGCTGGTGGACAGCACCAGGATGCGGACACCATGCGACCCCAGCCCCTAAATGGTGAAGCTTTGGCTTCCTCTCCTTGGTGGTGCGTGCAGGGCCTGAATCTAAAGACATGCGGTTTGGTCTGCCTTCACGTGCTCAGAATTTCTTTTAGTTTCAGTCACTGTGTCCTGAGTTGCCCCATGAGTTCTCCAGACAGTCCCAGGGCTGTCTGCTGTAACTCAGAGGTCTCACCTCAGGGTTTGGCTTCAGTGGTCAGTGCAGGTGACCTGCAGAGCAAATTCGAGTCCAGGTCTGAACTTGCTAATTGGGCTTTTGTTTTCTTGGAATTTGGTTATTTCCCTCCAAGTGTTAGAAGTAAAATAAAGTTTTGCCTTTTATTATAAGGAAATTGTTCCCAAATGAAATTAAATCAGACATTGCCACTGGTGTATGCAAAATGTTTCATGGAGATATTAGAGCAGCTCTGTGCTGCTCTGGCTTCTTGTGCAGAGGCTTCACAGAAGGTCAGGAGCCCGCTGTTTCCCTGTGACCACAGTGAACCACAGCGTGACTACTGTCATCGTCTGCAAGCCCAGTGCTCCTTGCGATGAATAGATGGGCTATAGGTGTGTATTGTAGTTGTCACTGACATTTATTGATTCAAGAGTCATCCTTTCTCTCAAAGGTGAGCATCTCAGGGAGTTGTCCTGTGTTGGGGCAGTTGTGAATCCCACGGGTCAGGCAGCAGGTGCATGCTCTGCACGGGGGGCCCGTAGCTGCTGGGTCGAGCAGCTTGTTAAACTTGGTAATGCTGCTGTCTGAACTCCATAAATGATGGTGTAGAGCTAAAATAAAGATTGGCTTTACTTGATGGACGCCGTGTTTGCTTTTGAAGTGTTTGAGGAATTGTTATATTATTCTCTCCCCTCCTTCTCGAATTTTTCCCACTATTTATTTCTCTTGACCTTGCTCTGCAGGAATCAGACTCTAGGAGGTTAAGAAAGACTGAGGGCGGTCATACGGGCCACACTAATTATTACACTCCAGAACTTTGTTTCTTCAACCTGAAAAATATTCACATTTAATACATCTCCAAGTTTGCCTTAGTCAGAAGTGCTTTTCGAGGTTTGTTTTTTTTTTTTTTGAGGAAGATCAGTCCTGAGCTAACTGCTGCCAATCCTCCTCTTTTTTCTGAGGAAGGCTGGCCCTGAGCTAACATCTGTGCCCATCTTCCTCTACTTTATACGTGGGATGCCTCCCATGGCTTTTTGCCAAGCAGTGCCATGTCTGCACCCGGGATCCGAACCGGTGAACCCTCGGCCACCGAGAAGAGGAACGGGCGAACTTCTTAACCGCTGCGCCACCGGGCCGGCCCCGCTTTTCCAGTTTTTATTGCCCCCTCCAGGTTCGTCTGTCTCTTGTTCTGGTTAAGCCGCAGACGCGCACCATGCATATTAAGCCCACGCATCCCTTTCGTTAATTGACGAAGGTGTATGGAGATGATGGACAGCGCAACCAGGGAAGCCCGTTGGCCACTCACCACCCTCCGGGGCTCGGCAACGCCTGGGTCACCTGTTAACGCTCGCGAGAGAAGGATGTGAGTCAGGGTGCCTGTTCATTAGTTTACTGTGAGAATTATGACTCCCCAGTGCTCAGAGTCAGCACAGTCTTTTCCTTTGGTCAAAACCATTGAGGGGAAAATGCCGTCTACAACAGGATGGAAACACCCCGGATTCTCAGTAACGCATTCAACCGGTGATATGCCAGAACTCCACAGAGAAAATATAAAACATTATCCAAAGAAACGAAAGAGGATTCAGATAAATTGAAGGATAGGCCCTATTCATGGATTGGAGGACTCAATATTATTATTATAAAGATGTCAGATCAAGCTACAGAATTAATGATATTACCATGAAAACTGAGCAGCTTCTCGGTGGAAATTGACAAGTGAATTGAGAATGCAGAGTAAGCCCGTCGGGGGAGCCGGGGAGCAGGAGTTAGGGTTACTAGGGGACTTAGGGTTCCAGAGACAAGGCTTCCTGTGAAACTAGCAGTTACAACGTGGTGGGATCACTGCAAGGGTGGACCGCAGACCCAGGAGACAACTGGATTCAGGGCAGACGCACACGCATAGATGTGGAGTGTGTGGTTCAGCTGGCCCTGCTGGACTGGGGGCTGTGGGGGTCTTTCAGGAAATGCCGCAGGGCAGAACAGATCCACATGGGAGGAAATGAAGCTTGACTCTTACCTTATGCCATGCACAGTAACTATGAGGTGGACGGTAGAAGTTTCTAGATGATAACAGGGCAGAGTTAGGAGAACTATGAGGAAAGATTTCTTCGACAGGACAAAAACCTCATCCACATGGAAGGACTGAAGAATCAGACTGTGTTAGACCCACTAAGAGAGCAGAGAGGCCAGCCAGGGAGGGAGGATGTTCGCAACGGGTACACCCAATAAAGCGCTCATGTCCAGAACAGAGAAGGAACACTGACAGATTGGCAAAAAGCTCACTGGAAATTTGTGAAAAATCACAAATAGGCCACAGATGCACACACACGACATGTATGTGCACACTCACTTGCATTTAAATACCAATAAATATCTGAGAAGATGCTCAATTTTATTAGTCTTCATGATGTGCAAATTAAAACCATAGTAAGAAACCACGACACATCCCCACAGCGGCTCAATTGAAAAAAGCTGAAAATGCCAAATGTTGGCCAGAACGAGAAGCAACTGGAAATTTTCTACACAGCCACAGCAGGTGTGTGTATTCGCACACAACTTTGGAAAACTGATGTTATCTTCTAAAGCTGAATCTCTGCGACCCCGTGACCCAGAAATTCCACTCCTGGGTGTGTACGCACAGAAGTGCACTCAGAGACACAGTGGCAGCCTTTGTAATGGGCTCAGATGGGAGACGCCCAGACAGCTATGAGCAGTAGAGTGGGCTGATCAGTCGTGGGACATTCACAATGAAATACCATCAACAAGAGGAGTGGAAGGCCGCCACACACGCAATGTGAGTGTCACCGTTGTGATGCTGAGCAGAGGAGACAGACACCAGAGAGCACAGCGCTGCATTCAGGTGCAGAACCAGCCTGCACCACCACCACCTCTGGGGAGGAGGTGGGGAAGGGGCTCTGAGATGCTGTGGTGTCCTGGTTCCTGACTGGGTGGTGTTCACATGGGGAAATCGTCAGGCTGTGTGTGTAGGACTTGGGCACTTTTCAGCCTACACATTATGCCTGAATCACGAAAGTTTATTAAGAAAGCATTGCTATAGGAAGTGCACTGTGATCGTAAAGTTGCCAGGTAAGACGGGAGCCGCCAGGTGAGGCAAGAGCTGCCTGCCCGGTGAGATGAGAACCATCAGGTGAGACAAGAACCACCAGCTGAGGTGAGAACCACCAGGTGAGGCGGAGCCGGTGGGTCTTGGGCTGGAAGGAAGGCCTGATACGTTCACTTGCACTGCGAGCTGGTCTCTGCCCGTTGGCCCCACGTGCACATCCAGAGACCCTGGCCCTGGACAACACTGACCAAGGGCAACACCCCTGCTGACCTGTGTCCACTCCTCTCGGTGAAGACATGTCGCCTTGGGCTGTGGGCACACAGGTGATGAGAGTCTGCCCTTGGAGCTGTGGTGGCCTTGGGCTGTGGACACACAGGTGATGAGAGTCTGCCCTTGGAGCTGTGGTCGCCTTGGGCTGTGGGCACACAGGTGATGAGAGTCTGCCCTTGGAGCTGTGGTGGCATCCCTGCTCTACCTTCCTGAGGCTGCATCTTGTTTGACCCTCAGGGATCCCAAGGGGCCTTAGCCACAGAGTTACGGGCAACAATGAGGGTGGATCTCACCCACTCTGGGCCAGTTTACTGGTTACCTTCTTGAAAGATAACCCTGTTTCCAAAGTCTTGATTCTTCAGGAATTTCCCTCTACTAAGTTATTGTAATGATCCGTTTGGGAAATGATGGGAACTAGAAAGGTTTCAAGGAGAAGCCTTCGGTTCTGGAGAAGTGGCTGACCACCTGGCGGGTTCGTCAAGTGTTCTCAGGCTGGGCTCCCTGCGGGTCGTGAGTAGCACTCTTCAGTAGAGGAGGTCGCGGGGAGGGGTGCAGGGCCTCCTCATTCATCAACACACTGAGGACGGTTTTTACCGACAGTAACCACAGTTGTGTTCCACTGAAGCTGGTCTCTGTAGCCCGTGGGTGTGGCTCTGTGCCCCAGACTCAGCTTTCCAGTGTGGACCTGGTGCCATGAGCATCGGCCTTGGCATTTGGGACCCGAACAGGTGGGAGGAAGAGGACCAGAGAGAGGGCTGTGGACTGGTGAGTCCTTGCAGCATCCTGGAGGGTCACTGGCCAGGCCAGAGGTGCTTGGGAGAAGGAAGTCATTGGCCAGGCTCTCGCCTCACTGGGGACTCTCGTCTCACCTGCTGGCTCCCACCTCACCTCAGAGGGGTGCCTTCCCAGTGAACTGTGATTCAAGTATAACGCGGGGGCTGACACACAACTTGACGAATTCTCCGAGTCGCGGAGGGTCGTCAGTTTGGAGATGTTTGGAGAAGAAGTATCTTGGCCCCAGAAGGCGTTTGGTGTCTGAGCCGCCTGCTCTGCCCGAGGGCTCTGCCTGCCGGGTGGGTGGGAGGTCAGGCACCAGCAGCATGCCCGGCTCTGCACCTCGTGCGTTGGACACCTGGTGTTCCAGGCTGCGTGGACATCCTCCCAGGAGGGAGTGTCTCGAGGCCACACTCCTGTCCTTCCACAGACCTTCTCTCCTTGGCTGTGGCTTGCTTTTGACAGATGGATGAGACACTTTGTGGTTATTGATCACTGGAATAAAATGTGAAAATTCACTTAGAGCTGAAATGACTTTTGCAATGTTTCAGACGGATGTGATGCACCAAAACATCTACGACTACATCCACGTGGATGACCGTCAGGACTTCTGCCGGCAGCTGCACTGGGCCATGGACCCTCCCCAGGTGGTGTGTGGGCAGCCGCTGCGCTCGGAGACAGGTGGGTCCAACTGAGGCGTGGCACTTTGTGTGACTGCATGGTGCTTTCTCTTCCTCCCTTCCTTTCACACTGAGTGCAGTGACGACCCGTCCTCATGGACCTCCTCCCACACGCCCCCACCGTCTCCAGTGCGCCCCTACGCGCCTCCCTGGCTGCTTCTCTGCTCAGTGAGGCGTGAGACCACCTCGCCAAGAAGCAGCAATACTTGTCTCTTGGTTTGCAAACTGCCCCCCAAGACGCACATCTTCCAGGAAATTCCTTTGGCTATGTTAGATTTATGTGAAAAAAGCCCCAAAAGATTGTTGTCTGTTCAGAGACGTTGCCCGTTCTGGGCAAGACTGCCTGCAAAGCACCCCCAGACACGCTCCACAGGCGCAGCTCCATGGGGAATGGGAGTGCGAGGGGACAGGACATCGGGCTGTGAGGGGATGGGGTGCTGTCCACGGGCATCCCTTGCAGGAAGAGTCGATCCTCTCACATGTCTCCCCAGAAGTTGTAAACAAGTCAAAAAAGTTTACAGCATAGCCTCACACAACAGCACGACTTACCCCTAAAGTTGAGTGAAAAAAGAAACCCCTGGTGCCGACACAGCAGCGTTTTATAAAACTCAAACCAGCAACACTAAACAACTGATCTATCATGATACATGAACTCTCCTAAAAGGACGTTTTTAAGGGCAAAGGACAGTGAAGACAAATGGTCTCTGCGGGGGTGGAAGAGAGGCGGGGGGCAGGGAGAAACACCAGCTGTGTGCCCGTGGGCATGCGGCACAGGCGTGTGTTGTGTGTGTGTGATGTGCTCACCGCTTGCTGTTACACGTACGACACACTTATCAGAGTGTCTTTACGGTTTCTCTCCGTCTCGCCTCCCGGCCACATGGCTGCCTGTGCCCACCTGGGCAGGAGAGGACGCCGTCCTGGGAAGGCTGCTCAGGGCCCAGGAGGGGGGTGCGGGTTCGCCCACGGAGTACTCGGCCTTCCTGACCCGCTGCTTCGTCTGCCGCGTGCGCTGCCTGCTGGACAGCACCTCGGGCTTCCTGGTGAGTGAGTGGGTCGGGCGGGGGATCCCTGACGTCTGGGATGTGTTCCTGCACTCCGCCTGGTGCAGAAGGAATACAGGGACCAGGGAGGGCTAGGAGGCGCTCACCTCGTCCTTGTACAGCAGGGCTGAGCGGGACGAGAGGACAGCGGAATGTGAGGTCTGGGATGGACAGATGACAGGACAAGACGACATAGTTAAAATCTGCAGTAGTTTATACTGTGGTGGGTTATTCACATTCAGTTGTACTTTTAGAACCTATTCCTGGTGCACCCCACATCCTGCACATGGAGCCCACCCAGAACTGAGGATCAGGAGAGCCTCAGATCTGAGAATATGTCTCTGCCAGGCGTTTTGGTTTTAATCTCTTCTCTTGCAAATAGATAGCTGGGGTTTCCAGTCTCTTGTTTGGCCATTTCCTCTCCCAGCGCCTCACTGAAAGGGAGGAGGGGAAGGAGGAGCCATCCTCCTCAGTACAACAAAACAGAGCCCCCAGCCCACCTCAGCCCTCCGCCCACCTTGCAGACCCCAATGCCTGTATCCTTCTCCAGAACCTCTGCCACCCCCCTCCCCAGCCTGTTCGCAGAGTCTCCTGGGTTACAGCTCTCCCAGCAGCCCCTATGCCCCCATCCTTGTGGCAGTAATGCAACACCTGACCCTCTGGCCCCAGGACTCTTGGGCCTTTGGGCTCAGCTTCTGGTCCATCATGGATGTGTGTAGAGGTGCCCCACTCCCACGACCACCACACGCTCCTCCCCAGCCCCACCTAGGCTGTGGGTCCCTGGCGGTCTGTCTCATCCACCTTGACTTTGGGGCCTTCTGGGGGGTCCATCTTCCCACCTGGGCTGTGGGTCCCCTGGAGGGACGAACCCCTGATGTTTGGTGTTTGGCAGGAAATTGTAAAACAAAGCACTGAGTAGAGGAAACAAACAAAAGAAATTAGTTTGAAAAGTGTCCGTCTTATTTCACTGCACACACATGAAAGGGCTCTGGCACCCAAGATGAGTGTGCTGAGAACAGGCCAGTGTGTAATGCAACATTTGCACAACTCCTGGGCTCTTCCCAGCTCTACCCCGTGGCTGTGTGAAAGCCACCCTGTCCCCACAGTCTGCACAAGATGCACGACAGCCCAGTGTTAGAATTTCAGGGTCTTGGAGGTCTAGTTGGCATTAGGTTAGTAGCTTGAAATCAGCTATGGTGGGAATGTTTACACCAAAGAAATTGGTAAACACTGGAAGTGAGGGCTTTTGTCTCTGGAGAGTTGGATCTTAAACATATCCCAGTACACCACTGCTTTGAATCCACCACACCAAGCTGGTGACTGGGTGCTTTGTGAGTGTTTCTTCGTTCAATAAATCCAGAGACAAATGGAGAGATGGACAGATGGATGGGTAGGTGGATGGAAGGATAGATGGATGGACAGATGGATGGAGGGATGGATGGATGGATAGTGGATGGAGGGATGGATGGAGGGATGGATGGGAGGAGGGAGGGATGGAGGGAGGGATGGAGGGATGGGAGGATGGATGGATAGATGGATGGATGGGAGGATGGAGGGATGGATGGAGGGATGGATGGAGGGATGGAGAGATGGATGGATGGGAGGATAGATCGATCGATGGATGGAGGGATGGATGGGAGGATGGATGGATGGATGGATGGAGGGATGGAGGGATGGATGGAGGGATGGAGAGATGGATGGATGGGAGGATAGATCGATAGATGGATGGAGGGATGGATGGATGGAGGGATGGATGGAGGGATGGAGAGATGGATGGAGGGATGGATGGGAGGATGGATGGATGGAGGGATGGATGGATAGATGGAGGGCAGGATGGATGGAGGGATGGATGGATGGATGGATAGATGGACAGCAGGATAAATGGATGGATGGAGGGGTGGATGGTTAGGAGGATAGATGGATGGGAGCATGAATGGACAGATGGATGGATGGGATTAGGATATGGAGAGAGTGGGGTCACGTTGTGGAGTCATTCTTCCTTGAAGACACTTAGTAACTAACTCAGTTAGGATTAGCTTTTCCATTGCAGAGAGATCTTTTATTTTCTTTTATCACAAACTCCTAAGTTGCTTGCTGGCTTTTTAACTCTTGCTAGATATTCTAAACAAAATCAGGTTGTGTGTTAAGTCTTATGATCATGAATGAAGGGATGATGACTTGGAAATGGAGGGTTAAAGCTGGAACCATCCTCAGAGATTATCTACTCCAGCAAATCCTCCCCGGGGGCTGGCTGATGGCTCTGCCACAGGTCAGTGACAGCCCTGGTTGACGTACATTCACGCCTACTGTGTAAGGGTCAGCTCACGCACCCACACACCCGTGAACGCCCACATGAGAACATGCTTGTCAGTTAAACAATATTACACAGACTCCAGAGGAGCCCGTGAATGATTCTGAAGGCCTGGGAGAGTACATGTCCCAAGGAGGCGAAGTATGGAAGAAGTGTTCGTTCGTGTCTCCTTAGAGACTCAGGATAAGACTCTGCTTCTATCCCTGAGAATTCGAGTTTCCTGTCCTTTGACAGTGTTGCTAATTTGCTCTGTGAACCTGCTTTCATTTCTGTCTTTAAAACACCAGACGATGCAGTTTCAAGGAAAACTGCAATTCCTGTTTGGACAGAAAAGGAAGGCACCCTCGGGGACCGTCCTGCCCCCACGACTCTCCCTCTTCTGCATCGTGGTACCTGTGCTCCTGCCTTCCGTGGCAGAGATGAAAATGAAGAGTGCATTTTTGAGGGCGAAGCACAGGGTGGACATCTCAGCAACAATGGACACAAAGTGAGTAAGGGCCCCCTGGGCAGCTGCACTCACCACGGGTTCTTGAAACAGAGCGTCTCGACACTGAGCATTTCTGTCTATTCCACAAGCAATAAAATGAGAATCTTGGTGTTGTAAAGCTGGTACATTATGTAGGAAACAACTATTAGAAGGAAGAAATGCTTCTAAACTAATATTTGTGAAGTGTGGCACCAAACACCGCCTGCAGCGCTTGTTCCTAACTCTTCCAGTTACGGTCTCAAAATGAGCACCCTGAGCCCATGTCCACTGTGGGGGATGCGAGTCCAGGGGCCGCAGCCTCTTCTCTTTGCTGTCCCACCCTCACACACAGCACTCACCACTGGGACAAAGGCCAGAGACAGATGTCCCCAGATGGCGGAGACCCAGCACGGCTGCCCCACTGCCCATGCAGAGTACCCTCAGCTTTTCGGTAGTGGGTCACCTTGCACTGAGTTTCCTGGGTGACTCACGTCTGTGGTTTCTTGGCATGGTCAGATCTGTGTTGCACAAATCAGTCTCTTGGGAACGATTTAAGATGTTGTGCGTATGTAAACCATGTTTTCCAACTGTGTGGAAAGACACCTTGTGAGTGAGACCCGGGGAGAAGGGAGGTGGGGAGGCCTGAGATGTGACTTTTGTCTCCCCCAGTGGAATGTGCAAGACGCCTTCCCCACATGGGTCACAGGTGCAGGCTGTCAAAAGACCCCTGAGTCCCCAAGCCACTTTTCTGTCCCTTAGTGACTGTCCCCACAGTGGAGCTCAGCCGAGCCAGCAGCTGCAGAGGAGCATCCCCACTGGGCCCTGCCTCCAGCTCATGGGCTCCAGGGGGCCTCAGCCAAGACCCAACAGGGCTTGAAACAGAGAGCTCAGAGCAGCACAGCTTTCCAGCTACACCAGCAGAGTCCCCTCCGAGGGCCAGGGGGCACTCTCCAAGAGGGAGCCTTCTCAGCACTGTCCTTCTCACTCCTTCTGCCCCAAGTGCCTGTCGGGTGTCCCCCCAGCCACCTGTGACCCACAGTGGGCTTCCTTCACTCACAGAGTGCAGTCACATGAGTTTGCATCATGCCTTTTGACGCAGGGCATCTCGGCTCGCCCAGGGAACGCACAGGCCTGGCATCTCCTTTGGGAACACCTGTCCCCCTCTCCTGCCTCCTGCTTGCCAGGAAAGCCTCCACCAGTGCCACCTCCTGGGTTACTGCCTTGTTGGGCCCTTTCAGGAGGCGAGCGCACAACGCACCCCTTTCTGCCCTCCCTGACCTGGGAATGTCTGGGCTTTGGGCTCCCCGTGCCTCCTCCAGGGCGGTGCCATCTGCCTAAACCACCATCAGATGGGATGGGGGTCTGAGCGCAGAGCGGGGGCTGGGCCAAGCCAGCCTGCCCCTTTGTCTGTGACAGCCCCAGCCTCCGGTCCTTGACTGTGGGTTTTAGATCTGGGACTCAACAGGATCCCACGTACTTGCTTCCCCTCCCTCTGCCTGTCCCTTCAGTTCGGTGTAGGTGCTTCTGTGTTCTCACTCACACCATCAGTGGGAACATCACGTCCACCAGGACCCACTTCTTAGCCCTGAGTTCTGTGGAAGGGTCCTGGTTACACACCTGCTGACAGCCTGATGCCCCAAATGGGGGCCTGTCCATAAGGAATATGAGGGCTCTGTGACCTAGTCTAGGGAATTCCTGCGCACCTTGTACACGGTGACACTGGGAGGGGAGGAAGGGCCCCAGTCTTCTCTCTGCAGTCCCCAGAGCCACCTGCAGGCCCCTCCTGTCTGGTGGGTGTGAGTGTCCATTCCTCTTCAGTGGCCACGATTCACCGTTGATGTCCTCAAGCTGACCATTCAGACAATTAGAAAACCTGACAACAGCCGCTTCTATGCTGTGCTCTGGGTTCTTGAGATGCTTGCTCCTGTTTCTGCTCCTGAGGACATGGTTGCCTCAGGTCTGCAGGTGGAGCCGCTGCCTTGGTGGCATAGGCACCCCCCGCCCCCCGACAGTCTCGCCGTGTGCAGGGAGGGAGGCCCAGGCCGTCCTCTGGGTGCCCTGACCAGGCTAGCGTGCTAGGACAGCAGTTTTCTGGAGCATTTTAAAATTAAATATACATGCCTCATTTTTAAAAATATAAAATGTCATAAAATATAAGGGAGGGAAAGCAGAATACTCAAGGGAGAAAACTATAAAAACAAGAGAGATAGCAAGTGATCAATGTGAAGGTGTGCAGAGCGAGGAGGTCATTGCGCGGGGCCAGCCCACTCCTGCAGAGTTCACTGTGACGTCAGCTGCCTGCCGGGCGAGCCCTCCGCACCTGGGTCTCGCCACCGGGACTCACGCCCTCATCCCCTGAAACACTCTCCATCTGCATTTACTGTCGCAGAGTTTTCTGTATTTTTAAGCTGTTTTGGCTTAATAATTGTAATTGAAACTCACAGGAGGAGATTTCTCTTTTCTGTATTGTTTCCAGCTCTACAAACAAGGTAGAGGAACACGCTCCCCTCCCATCTCTTTTCTGAGGGGTCCTGCTGCCCCCTGGTGCCCGTTCGGGGAAGTGCAGGCTGGCTGCACAGGTGCTCAGGCGTGGGGGCAGCAGGTGTGGGCTCCGGGTCACCCTACTCCTCTGTAGGCAGATCTGCCCACCTGGGATGGCTCGCGAGGACCAGTGCAGCAAGGGATGTGAAGCTGGCACGTGTAATGAGAGCTCAGTCAGTGCAGACATACTGTCCAGAGTGGTACTGAAACTCAGAGGGGAAGACAAAGCCCCAGCGGAGAATGCTGGCTCCCACCCAACATTTTGAGAAAGGAGCAAATCACTTCTCTCAGCTTCCTAGTTTTTTTTGGAATTACCTCCTGCTCTGAGCCGGATTCATAAGCCAACTTTGAGCACATACGTGGCCTTCACCTCTGAGCTTGGAGATGGCGTAAGAGGCAAACCCAGAGAAGATGCCCTGAGAGGCTGCTCTAGAAGGCCCACGGTCATCCCCCAGACACGTCCTCCACAACTTTTCCTGAAGGGATGTGGGGACGTGTCTTTCACTTCTAACTGTTCACAGAATATGTATGTGTGAACCTTCCTACTCGCTAAAATTTATGTGTGTTCTAACATCAACACCCAGGGGCTGTTGCAGCCAATCCTAGACATGCACGTCGTGGCAAAAATTTGAGCCACTCGATGGATGCTCATGTTCCCAGCTGAGGGCGACGCACCATCCTCTTGTCTCAGTTCTGTTTCTGTTCTTGCCACGCTTCTCTCATCTCTAGTCTCCCGTCTCTGTTCTTGACTCTAATCTCTCCTCTCTGTTCTCAGTCTCTGTTCTCTTATCTCTATTCTCTTGTCTCTGTTCTCATCTCTGTTTCATCTCTGTTCTCATCTCTAGTCGCTCCTCTCTGTTCTTTCGTCTCTGTTCTCTCATCTCTAATCTCTTATCCCCATTCTCTCCTCTGTTCTCATCTCTAATCTCTCGTCTCTGTTCTCATCTCTAATCTCTCATCTCTGTTCTCATCTCTAATCTCTCATCTCTGTTCTCTTCTCTGTTCTCTTGTCTCTATTCTCAGTCTCTGTTCTCCTCTCTAATCTCTCATCTCTGTCCTCTCCTCTCTGTTCTCATCTCTCGTCTCTGTTCTCTTGTCTCTGTTCTCTCCTCTGTTCTCCTGTCTCTATTCTCAGTCTCTGTTCTCATTTCTAGTCTCTCATCTCTGTTCTCTTGTCTCTGTTCTCTCATCTCTAATCTCTTATCCCCATTCTCTCCTCTGTTCTCATCTCTAATCTCTCGTCTCTGTTCTCTCATCTCTAATCTCTTATCCCCATTCTCTCCTCTGTTCTCATCTCTAATCTCTCGTCTGTTCTCATCTCTAGTCTCTCATCTCTGTTCTCATCTCTAATCTCTCGTCTCTGTTCTCTCCTCTCTGTTCTCATCTCTAGTCTCTCCTCTCTGTTCTCATCTCTAATCTCTCATCTGTGTTCTCCTCTCTGTTCTCATCTCTAATCTGTCATCTCTGTTCTCGTCTCTCATCTCTCACCTCTGTTCTCTTCTCTGTTCTCTTGTCTCTATTCTCAGTCTCTGTTCTCCTCTCTAATCTCTCGTCTCTGTTCTCTCCCCTCTTGTCTCAGCCCCTTTTGTCTCAGCTCTCCTCCAGATGTGACTGGAGGATGGAGCGGTAGGGCAGTGAGTGCAGGAAGCCCTGGCTCTGAGGCCAGCTGGACGAGCTTTGAATCCCACTACTGCACCCGCCAATGGCTGGCCTCAGGCAAGTCATTTAACCCTTCTGAGCCTCTGTTTTTCTTTCGAAAAATATGATAGAATCGACCAGGATGAGTTGCCTTAGGATTTAAGATTATAAGGTCTGTGAGATGTGTATTTGGGTGGGGGGGGGCGGTGTGCATACGCTCCCCTGGGGCAAGGGTTCATATTCACTGAGTGTTCACGGTGACTTTGCAGAACATAACTACTGCAAATCACAAGAATCAACTATATTTTCATTCTGGCCATCCAGAAAAAAACAAAAGCACTGAAATCATCCCTTGTGTACATCTACTTCTGAAGCAAATACACTAGCCCTTTATTGGCTTGAGAAGTTACATGAATTAGAATTTTCAGCAAATCTGTAACTGAGAAAAGGCTTTACAATCTACAAAAAATTAAAACTGTGAGTTATTGTTGTCTTCTGCTCTCATCATCAGTAGTACCTGCCACGTTGTTTATTTGTACCATCAACACACATTTAATCTACACTCTATCTTGCTGTTATCTATTCTTCACAGGGCAAAAACTACCACCAGTCTGTGTGAATCAGAATTGCACGGAAAACCCAGTTACTTAGCAGGTACTTTTTAAAATTCACTGTCTCATCTTTTTCAAATGGGTAGATGTGTCTCTGTCCCTTGGAGGGCTCTCCGTGCCCCTGGAAACCGTGGCGTATTCCACGGAAATGCCCTTTTGGAGGGCGTTGGCGTTTGTTGGCTGACTGCCTGTTCCTGTGGGCCCTGGTCTGTGCATTTCTGAGGAACTCGATGAGTCACATTGCCTGAGAACAGGACGCTGTTCAGTTCACGCAATGACAGCTTTTCGTTTCTCTAAATCCTGACAGGAAGGAGCAATGGGGAAAACAGCATTTCGGTGTTCAGGACACAGACCGATGCTGGCCACTGGGCCCGGGTTCCAGCCAGGGCCTCATGCCTGTGCCTCAGGGGTGGCTCTGACCTCATCTTTGACCCTGAGGGAGCCGCAGGGTAAGTGGCACCTCACAGCCCAGTGTTGAGAAAGAAAAGAGTGACTGGTGGCCAGTCTGGTGGCCTGGACCATGACAGCTAAACCTCCCTCTTAGTGACACCTGCAGACACATGCCGAGCATGCCCAAACACGCTTCTCACCCTAGAAGTAGTCACTACATGTCTGGGAACTGGCCTGGGGCAGCGGGGGCTTCAGCCAGGGCTCTCAGGACCTCTGGGCTCACCCTTCACCTGTGGCCTGGACCCTCAGTGACCTTCCTGTCCTCCACACTCACCTTTGCTCGGAAACCCCCTCCACCTCACACCCTCCCCTCCCACAGGGCCCCTGCCTGCCCCACCTGGGCTCTGCCGGCTCCCTGACCAGTGGGCCTCCTGTCAGAGGACTGGCCTGGCCACGTAGGTGCTGGGCTCTGTCCTGCCCTCCCAGTCACTGTCTCCTCCATCACCACAGGTGCCAGCCCTGATGCCGCACAGTGTCCTGAGCACAGTGGCAGCATGGCCATTGACAGGGCTTAGCGCACAGAGATGGCCAAAGGCTGTGTCTGCTGTAGTTTGACAGGGCTGTTTGCACCCAGGACCCCCGCCCCCCCAGTGTTAATAGCAGTGTGTCTGATCCTTGACATGTGGCCTGTGCCTCTCAGAGATACCTCCCTGGGAAAGGGTGGATGGCACACACATTCTGCGCCCCACTCGCCCCTGAGCCCTTGGAGCCCTGCCCGGTGTGGGGAGGCTGCGGGAGGGTCATTACAGGAAGGGCGGATGCTGGCACCGGCATCCTAGGGCTGCTGGGCAGGTGAGAGCGGCGGCCATGTGCCATGGGGCATGGCACATGGCAGGCCTCACAGGTACAGCTGTTTCACCCCTAGAGGCCCCAGCCAAGGAGGTCAGCCAATCGCCATCCTGCTCTGACGGGCCACCTCCTCTCCGCAGGGACAGGGGAGCAGAGGAGCTCGGGAGGGTGTCCAGTGGCTCCTCCAGCACGAGGGGGCAGAAGGAAATACATAGTTACAACTGCCACTTGGAGACCTCCGCACCCGGGAAGCACCTGAATTGGACAACAGGGAAACACGGTCAGGATGGCACCCAGCTGAAGCTGGAACCCAGCAAGCGTGATCTGTTCTCCGTGCGTGCTGTGCCTCACGGTTCCTGCATGCCCTACCTGGGCGTCCAGGGCACCCTCCATGCCAGTGGCGTCACTGCTTTCAGGAATTCACCCAGCTCTCACCCAGCGAACCATTCCCCCAGTGCATACGGCAGCCGGACAAGCAGAGCCTTGCGGGACCGCGGTCAGGGCCAGGGGCACCCTCCCACCAGCTGCCCCTTCCCCCAGGGGAGCCTGGAGAATGGGCTCCCTCAGCCCGCAGCACAGCATCTTGCAGTGGGGGGCTATTCTACCGAGGATGCCAAGTTGCGAGGTGTGCCGATGCCCCCAGGAGCCCTGTGCAACACCATGTTGTCACTTGATGTGCCCATCAAGATGGAGAGTGACTCTGGGTCCGAGGATACAGCAGATGGCTACTCTGTGTCCCCAGGCCGCATGTGGCTGGGAGCCAGTGAGGTGGCCAAGAGACAGCTGGTCACTTTCCCTACCAGGATGCACCTGAAGTCAGAGCCAGACCCCAGGCACCACTGCTACACCCCGCATATGGGGCATGGCCTGCTGGGGGCTCACCCCAGACCCGGCAGGGAACTGGCCCCGTTCCACCCCACACAGTGTGCCTGCCTGGAGCACATGCATGGTCTTCCCGAGCCGGAGCCCCCGCCCGGCCTCTGTGCGCGGGGCCCCCTGCCCCCGACTCTGGGCTGTGACTGCAGAGCTCCTGGAGCTGCACCCGTCGTCAAGCGTGAGCCCCTGGACTCGCCCTCATGGGGTCCTCACAGCCAGGGTGGGGTGCCCGGGGTGTTCCCCAAGAGTGGCTTGGCAACACTGATGCCGCCCAAGGCCTCTGAGTGCACTTTCCTGCCATAGAAGGGGCATTTCTAAAAACTGGCGTCTGTCCGCGCTCAGATTTACCCCTCAGCCGGGGCGGGGTGCAGGCCAGAGCCTCTCTTAAGCAACACTCTGCAGAGTTGCACAAGTCCAGTCCCATTACATCTGGAGCAATGCAACAGTGTATTCTGTATTTTGTAAAATATCATGGAAGTTCTTAAATGCAAAGTGGTTTTAAGTCTGTTCAAGTAGGATAGTATTTCTCTTCGAGGAATTAAAATTTTTCTGAAAGCAGCCAAAGTGAGACATGTTGGCCTGGTGGGCAGGACTCCATGCTCCAAGAGGTGGCAGTGAGTGCAGGCTGACCAGCAATCATGTCTGCCGTGTGGTTTCCAGGGGCCCCACACCCACCTCCCAGCTTCCCTGCCTGGCTGTGAAGGGAGATCGACGCCTGCATGGAGTGGATTTCAGAGAGCAGTCACACCCTTGGTATTCCACTGCCCAGACAATAAATTAGGAACATAACTCACTGAGCTACAGGTGACCATGTGCCCATCCATGGAGGGAATCTAGAAAGTTCCAGGCAGGAGAGGTGTCAGCGCCAGGTCCTGCACTCACTACAGTATGCAACATGTGCTCTACGACTCCACAGCGGAGTTTGAGGCCATACTTGGAGTGGAAACTGACAGGATAATATCCTGTTCCTTCTGGAAGTTTCTCTGGTGTTTGTAATGGGCCTCTGAAGATGGTTTATGCTAATCTGTCTCAGCACATCATGTGACTTGGAGTTTACAGAGTCTGGGTTTGGAAGTGCAGTCACACGCTGCATAGCAACGTTTCAGTCAATGAGGGACTGTCTATGACGGTGGTCCAGGAAGATTAGTCCCACGGCGCCTAGGTGTGTAGTAGGCTGGACCGCCTAGGTTTGTGTATGTCACTCTATGATTTTCACACAACGATGAAATCGTATAACCATGCATTTCTCAGAACATCTCTGTGTTGTTAAGTGACCCATGGCGTATAGAAAAGTACAAAACGTGGAGAAAAGAAATAGGAAGCGGACTTGTCTTGCTCTCTTGTTGACTGTCTACAGTTTTTCAAATGAGGATTCCAATCGCCGTCTCAGGAAGAATTATTAGAGACAGGGCAGACAGGTGATGTTTTTAAACAAAGTTGTAAAGGTAACTACCTTCTGGTGTAGGAAATTTAGATACAAGAGCATAAATCATAAAGCAGAGGGGCCGGCCCCATGGCCGAGTGGTAAAGTTCGCGCGCTCCGCTTTGGCGGCCCAGGGTTTCGCCGGTTTGAATCCTGGGTGCAGACCTAGCACCACTGATCAGGCCATGCTGAGGTGGCATCCCACATAGCAGAACCAGAAGGACCCACGATTAAAATATACAACTATGTACTGGGGGGCCTTGGGGAGAAGAAGAAGAAGAAAAAAAAAAGAAGATTGGCAACAGATGTTGGCTCAGGGCTAATCTTTAAAAAGAAAAAGTGGAGGTCGCCCAGAGTCCCCACCCAGAGATGGCACTGCACCTTCCTGGCGACCCCACCCCACTGGTGCATTAGTGCAGGGGGTGCACCAGGCATGGAAATCACCCCAAGCAGAAGGAAGCAGCAGTGGGGAGCTCTTGGGGTCAAGTGCCCCTGTGGCTGGGCCCAGCTGTGCTGGGGGGTAGACTCCTCCTCCTCAGGGACAAGGGCATGTGCCCTCTAAGTTCACCTCCACCTGGGAGTCTCAGTATTGCATGCATGTAACATGTAACTGGGAAAACAAGGGACTGAAAGGAAGGAGCTCTGAGACGTCACTGCATATTTGCACACCATAGCCAGATCCCAGTGTAACCAAAGAGGAGCTGCCAGCGTGAGCCTCACGTGAGGTTAGCACACAGCTGTCCCTGCCCACAAGGGCCACCTGGCTGCCTGCTCCCCGACACTCAGTGCAGCCCTCTGCACTCACTCTTCTGGGACCATGGGCACCATATTGGCCATAGTTGGTGGGCGGGCAAGTCACGCTTTGTTGATGTGGACTTCAGCATCTGGACATCAGCTCTGCTTGGAGATGCCCATCATGCTCAGGGCCCAGGTCCTGGAGCCCCGGTCCCTCCTCTGCTGGGTCAGCATCAAAACTTCCCTGAATGAGCACTTTCGTGATTTTTACACCCATGCCCCTCCTGAGAAGTTGTATGGGGAGGATGCTGATAGATGTAGAAGGTGCAGATGTGGTAATTTCTGCTTTAGAATGTCATTATCAGTACTAATTACAAGCTTATGTGTTCCTGTGGTCTGTAGCTTTTGCCTATATAGCCGAAAAGATTAAAATCAAGTATAATGTGGGAATGGGATGGAAGGGAGGCGATAAATACAAATTATATTTTATATTTTTGCAGTTTCTTCTGGAAGAAAAAAGTTTTCAATATCTAGACAGATGTTGAAATTTTTTAAATGGATACTCTATAATGTAGCTTTTTGTACTGTTTTCTCAGTGCCTTTAGAAAGAGCTTTCAAATATATTTCTGATACTGTGGTTTGTATTAAATTTGCAATATTGGTGTAAAATAAATCACATGTTGATAGTATTTACCATAAATGGAAACATCTACTTGATTTTCCAAATGAAGTCACTTTATTTCCTTTGAAGTGTGTGTTGGTTAATTTACATTCTGAGACAGTCCTCCACCACTAGATGCCAGGCAGTAATAAAGAGAAAATAGACATGCTGGAGCCGGAAGTCACAGGAGGAGGGAGACCCACCCAGCCACGTCCTTGCTGTGGGCCCTGCAGCACTTTCTCCTCTGCCCACCAGCCCCTCTCCCGCCATCACTCAGGGTTGGGGGACCCTCCCAGGTGCCTTCAGGACACCCCAGGCTCGGCCTGTCCTGTAGGGAGCAGATGTCTGGTTCCCGTGTGTGTGGGGGACCCTGAGGGGTCAGCCCCACCCAGCCCAGGACTTGGTGGCAGGTGTGTGGGAAGGGGCAGGGGGTCATCAGGGCCCACACAGAGACCCCTCCCAGGCCCAGGAAGTGGTGTTTTCCTTTCCTTTGGTCAGAGAACACTCCCCAAATTGAAGACACGTCAGTGCCCTGAGCAGAGCTCGGATCTGCCCCTGCTGAGAAGGTCCAGCCCTGACCAGGCTCCTCTGCATCCTCAGACTCCAGTGTCCTTCTCAGGGGAGGCCAGGCCAGCCTACCCCCATCTGCTGGGTCTAATCCAGCCGCTCCAGCCCTCGTGGCCGCCTGCCTAGCCTGCCTTCCCCCATGCCCTGCCCCGCACCCCACGCCCCCTACTCCCCCCCATGCCCTCCCCATCTTATCCTTGCTCTTTAGTCTTTAGACTCATGGGTGTTGAGACCTGTACATGGAGATCCCTCGTTTTCACTCCCTCAGATGACTCTACCACCACTTATCTGCTCTGCGGACAGACATGTGGGTCAATTCCAGACTTCCTCTACCCGCCCAGCAGCTGCCCACCCGCCTGTGTGCTTCTGCAGGACGGAGGACAGTCCTGAGAATGCTGACAACAATACACCTTTGCTCACTAGCTGCTGCCTAAGTATCCTCCACAGGGGTCCTGCCACTGTGCATGTGTCTCAGTACGTTTGGGCTGCTATAACGAAAGTGCTGCACGCTGGGCAGCTTAGCAACAACAGACATTCATTTCTCAAATTTCTGGCGGCTGGAAGTCTGACATCAGGGTGCTGGCATGGTTGGGTGAAGCTCCACTTCTGGGTCACAGACGTCTCGCTGTGTCCTCACTGGTGGATGGGTGAGGCAGCTCTGTGGGGTCTCTCCCCGTGTGTGCATGGGGGAAGGGGTGCAGACAAGTGACCACAGACCACCTAAGTTCTGCAGCCTAGCGAAGGGGACAGGTGCTGTGTAAATAGATTAGCCAGGCGGGGGTAGCCCACGTGGTGATTTGTGAGCAAAGCTGCGCTGGGAGGCAGCATCTGAGCCAAGACCTGACGTCAAGGTTGTGGGCCCAGCAGCCAAGGCTTCGAGTGGGGATGACCCTGGGCTGTGGTTTGAAGGTTGAGTGGGCTGCAGGCAGGAGGGCCCCCAAGACCCCCCTAAGGACTCCAGTCAGCCACCAGCAGACACCCCCAGCCTGGTTTCTTCCCTAAGTGTGCAGCTCCAGCCTTTCCTGTGCCTCCTGCACTTGCTTGTCCTTTCCTGAACTTTTTATTGCAGTTCTTTTTATATGCAGGATAGCAGCATTTCGTCAGTTATGCATTTTCTCTCGGTTTGTGGCTTGTCTTTCATTTAAGGATTTTTTAAAAAATCAGATGAGTTTAAACTTTTAGCATAGCAAATAGTCATTCTTTTTCTTTATGGCTTATGTGTTTTGCATCTTAAGAAAATCTCTCTGACAGTGCCTTTGACATAAAGCTCATTTTGTCTGATATTAATATTGCCACACCAGCTTTCTCGGCCTGACTGGCTGGTGTGCAAACCCCATCCACGCCTAACCATCCTGTTCCTTTATGTTTTAGATGTTTTTCTTATACATAACTTTCACTGTTTTAAAATCCATTTACTGTGTTCTGATAATTGGTGTATTCAAACATTTCTACCTCTTCTTTTGGTTTCTCGTTACATATGATCCTTTGATGTTTCTTCCCTTCCTACTGTCCCTATGGGATTGCTTGTGTTCTCTCTGTTCCTTTCCCCTATTTGCTTGGAAGTTACAATTCTGTTTTATTTCTTCAGTGGTTACCATTAACATGCGCATTTAGCAAAGTCTAAGTTGGAGCTGATCAAGATCTCTATTCTCCCAAGAACAGACAAGGGTCTCTGGACACAGGAGCACGCCGCCTCACCCCCACTTTACTGATGCCGAGGGTGGGGAGGCCTCTCTAGACATGTTCCTGGTTTGCTTCTGCCAAGGGGCGAGTTTCATTAAGAGCCTCTAGGCTGAGGAGGGGTTAGGCCTGCATGAAGTGCAGGCCGCCAGCTATGAATTCTTGGGGGGGCCTTCCCTGACATGGGACCCTGATGGAGGCAGGCAAGCCTCCTGGCCATCCTGGTACCTGGGAGAAGTTGCTTGTATGGGGTTTTGTGGTTTGTTTTCTCCAGCCCACTGTGCACTGAGGATACAGCCTTTGAGCACCCTGGCTTCCTGGAGGAGTCTGAGTCTGTCCCACCTGGGCGTCAGGACTCCCTCTCCCCACCTGACCCCCTCCAGCAGCGAAAATCTCCACTCATCTCTCTTCCCTCTTTGCTTTGCCACCAGAACATCCCCTGTGCTTGTCTGTGAATTCACTTGTGCATTTAAAAGGGTGCTTGCTATCTTCATCCAATATTCCTAGTTGTTCTGTAGGATGTTGTTCAGTTATTTGGTCTGCCAAAAACAGAAGTCAAGAAAGGTTTTGGGTTTGGGTTTTTTTGATGAGGAAGATTGTCCCTGAGCTAACATCTGTGCCAATCTTCCTCTATGTTGTATGTGGGTCGCCGCCACAACATGGCTTGATGAGCGGTGTGTAGGTTAGCACCAGGGATCCAAAACTGCAAACCCTGGGCTGCTGAAGCTGAATGCCTGAACTTAACTACACCACCAGGCCAGCCCCCAAGAAGGGTTTTTAATGAAGGTTTTATTTTTTCAGTTTTAAGGAGGAAAAAAAAATGTCCATTAACAAAGCATGCTATTGTTAACCATCTTGGTTAACTGAGGAAGGCATTAGGGAGTCCTACATCCACAGAGACATCCATAGCATGAGTCTCCATTTTGTATGTTACACGTTGCTACATTTTGAAGTAACAGTCCTAAAAAGTTCAATAATTTTGACAACTTTTTTCTTCATTACTTTCAAAACACCTTTTCAGTTATAATTTCAAACGTAATTTTAACTTTTGCTTACATTCTTCGTTGCTCAACTTGGCGCCAATCTTAATAAATTACCAGGTGCAGATGCAACAGTAAGGGGTCAGCCATCAGTCAGCGTAGTGGAGCGCCCGGTCAGCTGTGACGGACAGCACAGCTTCCGCGCCCAGCTGGTGGGCAGGCTTGGGTTACAGGCCGAGGCAGTGGCGGAGGGGCCCTGCACACCTCGTCTTCTTGCCCGCCCCGTGCGCCCAGGTGTTGGCGCGTGTCTGTGTGCTCACCTGCGCCCGGCTCCCTGCACTGCTGCCCCTCCTCCCTTCCCTCTGACTCCCACCCGCTGCGCTCCTGCCTCCCTCCTCCCTCCTCCCTTGCGCGGTCCTGGTGGCCGATCCTGGTGGCCCTCAGGAGGCGATAACGTCAGAGACTTGCTGTCAGTCAGTGAGGGCGAGGGGCGCTCCCAGCGCGGGCGGACCTGGGGTCCCCGGGCTCGTCGGCCTCCTTCCCACTCAGAGTCCAGCTCTGGCCGCCGGCCTCTGCTCCGCAGCCACCGGGGCTGGCCGCCCCACCTTCCCTCCAACTCAGCCCTCCGCAGCCTCCCCTCCCGCCCGCACCCCTGCCCCGTGGGGCGGTTCACGTCCCAGCCCCACCCACTCAGCCTCGGTGAGGGACCGGCGCCCGCACACTCAGGGACGGCTGTCCCACTGCGGTCGTCCCCACGTGGGCTGCTCGGTTTGTGCTCCTGGGCTCCGGGTGCGTGTTCGGTTCCAGGGTGGCAGGGGCAGCTCGGGCGGGCCGGTCCCGAGACGCGGGACAGGGGCCACGCCGCGGCGGGAGGCGGACGCGGCCCGCGAACTCGGTGCCTGGGAGTGGACGGCGGAGGAGACGCAAAGGAGGCGGGGCGAGCAGTGGCCCTCATGTGGGTCAGGACAGCGGGCAGAGAACCGGAGGGGGAGCCTGGGAACGGGGTCCAGCAGAGAGACGGCAGGTGCAGTGGGCTCTGCCTGGGGACACCGGGGGACAGGGCGGGAAGGGTCAGAAGGAGAGGGGCCGAGTGGGGCAGGGACCCCAATCCCAGCGCACCCCCTGCCTCGCCGGGGGCAAGGACCCCTTCCCGACGGTCCCCTCTCGAGGGGGCGGCCCGTGGGCGGCGACCGCATCCCGACGGTCCCCGCCGTAGGGGGCGCCGTCTGGGCAGGAACCTTGCCCGCCCGCCCGCCAGCCGGGACTGCACAAACACCGCGCTTCCGGTCGCGCCTCCGGAAACGGAAGTGCTTGCGGGCCGCTCACTTCCTGTCGGGCGCCGGTGAGGCAGCGACCGCGGACGGTGAGGCGGCGGCGGCGGCTGCGGTGGGGGCGGGCGCGGCCTGGGCGGTGGGCGGCGGCCTCGCCCGCTGTCCCTTCCCGGGCGCCGGTGGGCGTGGTGCGGGGGGCGGCCGGGCGGCGGCCCAGCCCGGAGGCGGCGCGGGGCGGGGCGGGTTTGGGCTCGGCCGGGCGGCCGCGCGCGCCCCGCCCCTGGTCCTCCGCTCCCGGCGGGTGACTGTCCGGTTCCGAGCGCCGGCCCGCAAACGGCTTGTCTCGTGCCCCCCGCCCTAAGGAGCGGTCCAGGGCCTGCGGGCGCCTGCGACCGCCGACGCCCGCTCTTGGTCGCCGCCTGCCCCGCGATGGAAGTCGTGCGGGGTTAGCGTCGGTGGGGACGCTGGTCACCTGTCCCGAAGACGCCGGGACACAGACGCAGCCGCTGGTTAGGTTTTCCGCGTGGGTTCCTGCGTTTTCTGTCGCAGCAAACGGAGAGGCAGGAGCGCTCTCGCAGTAGGGTTCCGTGGAAAGAGAATGGGACGGCAGGCACAGAAATTAGCTAACAGTCCTTGGCGGGAATCCTCGAGTTTCGCGTTTGTCTGCGAGCACGTGGGATGGGAAGTGACAGACGTGGGGAGAGGACGGGTCTTTCTCGTGCCTTTGAGCAGGTGTGCACAGGACACATGAGTGGAAGTGGCAGTGCCCTAGCTGAGGTCGAGGGGACGCGTGTTTGTGCTCCCTCTCCTTCCCAGACGCTCGCCAGATGTCCCAGCTCCTGGGCGAGGCCCTTGGCGTATCTGGGAGTGAGGCAGGTGTCTCAGCATCTGCGCCCTGTCCCTTGAACCTGAGCAAAGGAGGACCTGTGCTTCTGCCCTCTTGCCTTTCTTTACCAGTCTGTTAAATAGTAGGAAACGGAATTTTGTGTGCTACAGACAGCAGTGATTTTGGGGAGGAATCATAGGATGTGTGCCGGGACTTCAGCTGGGGGTGGTGAGGTGTGTGCTGTCCCTGTGCTTCCATGTCCTCACTGAGGCGGCCTGGCGCAGCTGCCCAGCCCCTGCTCCCCACTTCAGCCTGCCCACATGGCAAAGGGCTGGTGGTGTGCAGGCTCTGGACATGAGAAAGTGGCCCTATCTCAGAAACAGAAGTGCCTTGGAGACTGACACCTGATGTGATAAGTGGTCTGGGGTTCTTATTCAGACATCCTCCATGTGTTCATGTCTTATACCTGTAAACGCCCCTACCCCACTTAAAGGTAACACTTTTTCCCTGTCTGTGTTCTGAAGGTTTGTCTTATTAAGAAATTAAGATATTTCATAATCCTAGTTCAACTTTCAGGTTTACTGGATTAATGATTTCAGATGCTCTCTTTATAGCTCCCTCATGCACAACTGACTTGGGGGGATGAGTTTTGTATCTGATATTTCCGCCTTCCTAACACATCTTCCCCTCTGTCCCCCTCCCCCCATGCACACAGGATGCCTCTAGTATGACAGGAGTGGAGATTCCACCTGCTTTTTAGCCATGAAGGAGACAGACCGGGAGGCTGTTGCGACAGCGGTCCAAAGGGTTGCTGGGATGCTTCAGCGCCCGGACCAGCTGGACAAAGTGGAGCAGTATCGCAGAAGAGAGGCCCGTAAAAAGGCCTCGGTGGAGGCCAGATTGAAGGTACGAGACCAGAGAGGCCATAGGCACCTGCATCACTCCCATGCAGGACAGAGCTGTTTGTCTTGAGTTTCAGATTCCTGCTTAACATCATCATTGTAGTTTTGCTAAATTAGACATTGTGATAATCTAGGAAAGAGGCAGAACAGAGCATTCCCTTTACTTGGCTCATTCCTTCAACGATATATTATCAATCATTAAATCTACAGGGAAGACCACAGGAATATTGAAAACACCAAAGGAGCAACTGCTTTAAGTACCTGCAAGTGTCTATTTGCTTTCTAAACAATACCAAAAGAACAACAGCTATCCTCATTATTGTAAGCTCTGCTACAGAGCGCCGCCAGAGAGCATTTTGTTTGGATCATTCCAGCACACGCTGTAGCAGGCTGACCATGTCCCAGGCGTTCTCCTGGCCCTGGGGAAGGAAGGAGGAGGAGAACAGACACGTTTATTAAGAGGGTGTGAGACTAAGGCAAGAAAGAAAATCCTTCTTTTTCAAGGTATTTTATGATTTGGATTGGTTTTCAACTTAATTCATATGAAGAGGTGAGGTTTTATTAAGATACCCACATTGAGTATAGTTATAAAATGTTGAAACTGTGGCCTGCTGTAGTTGACAGGCAGCAGAACCGTCTTGGGGATTTAAGAGCGTGCCTTTGAGGAGAGTTAATTCTCACACTGATAGGGCAGTGAGGTCACTCTCCCCTTGAAAACGTTATTACCGTCCAGGGAATGGCAGGCTTGGGGAGACAGGATGAGGATGGCTCATTTGTGCAGTGAAATATCCAGAGACCTGTTGGACTGATTTGAAACAGCAGTTTCATATTGATTTAAAAACAGTTGGGACCTGATGCATTTTAGTTGGAACTTTGATTTGTTCTGGCAACTTGTGGGATTAACTAACAATTATCAGTAGTGATTTAGAAGCCTTGTGTAGTCTGTTAAAATCATTGTGAATTATTTCTGAACCAACCTAAGACTCGGGTGAAAAGTATTCTGGCTTCAATTGTGCTGCCTGGTCTTTCCCTTCCCTTTCCCATCTACCTACTGCTGCTCTTTCATGCCCTCTCCCTTCTGGCTGTACGGCTTGCTGGATGGCATTGTGTTGGACCCACAGAGTGAGTCTGAATCTGTTATGTACCAGTTCTGCGCTGTGGGGCTGGCTGTCCTTGAGCTGAGACTGGTTCTGGCTGAATGGCAGGAGACCCCTCCCCACTAAAGCTGATGAGCAAGTCCCAACAGTTTTCTCCGCCTAGATAAGGCCTATTAGGAGACTGAGGGAATGCCTGGAAGATTGTGTATGTAGTTTTTCTTAAGATACCATTTAGGGCCAGCCCTAGTGGCCTAGTGTTAGGTTTGGTGTGCTCTGCTTTGGCAGCCTGGGTTTGGTTCCTGGGCATGGACCTACATCACTGGTCTGTCAGTGGCCATGCTGTGGTTGTGGCTCACATACAAAAAGAGGAGGATTAGCACCAGATATTAGCTCAAGGCAAATCTTCCTCAGCAAAAAATGAAAATAATAAAATAAAGATACCATTTCAGGGGTGGCCATGGGACCCAAGGCGTACCCACGGTTATGTCCAGCGTCTTCAGGCTGAGGGGTTGGATAAGGGAGTATTGTGAGGTTTTCTCAACAAAGCTTTAAATGGCGTTGTTGTCCTGTTGCGAGGCAGCAAAGAAAAAGTTACCTTGTGAATCAATAAAATCCTTGTTGAATTTTATTCCCTTTTCTTTGGGTATTGACTGTTCCCTGCCACGGAAATGTCTCTTTCCTGCACTTGAGCCTCCTGGGGAGGATTTGTTTGTGGCTGTCCCAGCTTTGCTCACCTGCATGGTGTCTCCCCTAGGCCGCAATCCAATCACAGTTGGATGGGGTGCGCACGGGCCTGAGCCAGCTCCACAATGCACTGAGTGACGTCAAGGACATCCAGCGGTCCCTGGCCGATGTCAGCAAAGACTGGAGGCAAAGCATCAACACCATCGAGAGCCTCAGGGACGTGAAGGATGCAGTTGTGCGACACAGCCAGCTCGCTGCAGCTGTGGAGAATCTCAAGAACATCTTCTCAGGTAGTCAGGCGGGGCTGCTACAAGTGCTCATCCCATGACTTGCACCTGCTTTCCTGGCTCTGTGGGTGACACAGAGGCAGTTCAAGCTTTTGTGCAGTGTGTTTTGTAGGCCTGCCTCTGTAGACAGTAGGTGTGATTCCCATCTGCTCAGTTAGTTTCTGTTTTGAACATGGATGGACAGGATCAGTTGAGCAAGTCAGGGCTAGTAGAATGCTTGCATCTGTCTTTGTCAGGACAGATGCCCCAAATGGGTGGATGAACACTGTGTGAGCTTCATGCCCTCAGCTGCAGTGTGGCTGTTAAGTCAGTAGACCGCTGGGACTCTGCGAGGTGCAGAAGAAGAAAGATGCAGGCACCACACGCCTGGAAGGAGCTTTTGGTTTGTGAGAGTAGCAGCCCTGTGGGTGGGACAGAGAGGGAGCAGTTCCCAGCAGGAGAGGTGACAAAGGAGAGCAGCAGTTCCCAGGTGGAGGAAGTGTGCATGGGCCAGGGCAGGGCAGGACAAGGCAGGGTGGCCAGGGATGAGGCATGCTCTGGAGTCTTAGCCGAGACTGGAGCAGGACCTGGTGAGTAAGGGTGCTCCACTGCCTATTCGGAAACAGTGTCAGCCACCACCTGGGCAGGGCTCCCTGTTGTGTTCAGTGCAGCCTCCTCACACTTGGTGCTGTGACAAGAGCTCCTCATCCGCTCCCCCAGAGCCCATCCTTCCTTCATCCCCTCGCCCTGTCGCAGTCACCAGCATCCCAGCAGGAAGCCTTGGGATAGTCTAAGCCCTGCCCTTCCTTTATCCCATGTCTGGTCTCAGTGAGTTCTTTCTGTCCTTCCCCAAATTCTGCTTAACCCCTGAGTGTAGTCTGGCACATTTCTTCCCATCTGCCCACCGCTGTGAATCCACAGCATGGGTCGCCTTGCTCCTGCCACATCATGTCTAGGTAACCTGTGTCCTGTTCAGCCCCTGTTCCTCTGGACTCCCCTTACACCTGTGTCTTACGGCCGCGATGTTGAGTCCCTGGCAACATTGCTCTGTGCATGCTCATCTTCCTGGGCACTTAGGGCTGTGTCCTCCCATGGATGGCACAGCACTGCCAGCTCCAAGGGGGTGCTCAGGAAGCAGCTCCTCTTGGTGACTGTTGACGGCTTGGAGTTGGAACAAAGTCCCCACGTCAGAACCTCCTTCACGACACTCAGCCATCGCCGTCCTAGTTGCTTTCCCTCCTCTTACAGCTTGCTGCTGACTGGCAACGTTTCCTTCCAGTCTTGTGAAGCCAACGCCAAATGAAAAAGTTGCTTCACTGGAAGCAGTTCATCCACAGACGTTGAAAGTAATTTTCTTTCCCTGGGGGACAAGTGAGGCTGCCATGTGTGCATGTTTTTGTTAGGAGGAGATTTTTATTGGGAGGATGTTGTGCCTGTTTGGCTTACTTTGGACTTTTTTCATTGCTTGTGATTCAGTAGTGCTGTGCACATAACATTTTTTCTTCCCTTCACTGTTTTTGTGGTAAAATATACCATATTTTACCAAAATATATATAAAACTTAGCATCTTGACCATTTTTAAGTGTACAGTTCTGTGGTATTAAATACGTTCATATTGTTTTGCTACTATCCCCACCATCCATCTCCAGAACTCTTTTCATCTTGTAAAACTGAAACTCTATGTCAGTTATATTGCAATAAAACCAAAAGAAAAAAAAAGCCTGAAACTCTGCACCTGTTAAATGGTAACTCCCCGCTTCCTCTCCCGCCAGCCCCTTACTAGTTACAGGTCTCTTCAGATTGTTTCTTCACGATTTAGTCTCGGATGGGTTTTGTGTTGTTAGGAATTTTTTGCTTCATTGAAGTTACCCAGTTTGTGGGTGTATAGTTGTTCATAGTACTCTGTTACAATCCTTTTTATTTCTATAGAATTGGTAGTAATGTCCCCACTTTCATTTCTGATTTTAGTGTTTGAGTCTTCTCTCTTTTTGTTAGTCCATCTAGCTAAAGATTTGTCAATTGTTGATCTTTTCAAAGAACCACCTTTGGGTTTTGTTGCTTTTCTCTATTTTTTTAGTCTCTGTTTCATCTATTTCTGCTCTAATCTTTATTATTTCCTTCTTTTTACTAGCTTTGGGTTTAGCTTATTCTTTTTCTAGTTCCTTAAATTGTAAAGTTAGCTTGTCAATTTGAAATCTTCTTTTTTAATGTCAGCAATTTATAGCTATACACTTCTCCTTAAGCACTGCTTTTCTTGCATCTTGTAAGTTTTGGTATGTCGTATGTTTGTTTTCATTCATCTCTAAGTATTTTCTAATTTCCCTTGTGAGTTCTTCTTTGGTCCATTGGTTATTTAGAAGTGTGTTTTTTAATTTCCACAATTTTGAAGTTTTTCCAATTTTCCTTCTGTTACTAATTTCTACCTTCATTGTGGTCAGACAACATACTTTGTGTGATAACTACCTTTTTAAATCTGTTGAGACTTAATCTATGGCATAATATGGTCTATCCCAGAAAACGTCCCATGTGCACTTGAGAAGAACGTGTGTTCTCTCGTTGGGTGGAGTGTTCTGTGTGTGTCTGTTAGATCTAGTTGGCTTATTGTGGTGTTCACACCCTGTTTCCTTACTTATCCTCTGTCTGATTGTTCTATCCGTTATTGTGAGTGGCATATTGAAGTCTCTGAATTATGATGGAACTGTCTATTTTTCCGCTTCTGTTAATTTTGCTTCATATATTTTGATGGTCTGTCCTCAGGTGTGTAAATGTTTATAATTGTTACGTCTTCTTGCTCTGTTGACTCTTATTAACATATAATGTCCTTTTTTGTCTCTTGTAAACTTTTCTGATTTAAAGTCTATTTTGTTTGATATTAGGATAGCTGCTCTGCTGTCTTTTGGTTACTGTTTGCACGGAATATCTTTTCCATCCTTTCATTTTCAGTCTTTGTGTCCTTGGATCTAAAGTGAGTCTCCTGTAGGCAGCATACAGCTGGATTATGTGTTTTTATCCATTCTGCCAATCTTTGTCTTTGATTGGGAATTTAATCCACTTACATTTAGAGTAATTACTGATAATGAGAGACTCAATTCTGTCATTTTCCCATTTGTTTTCTGTACGCCTTAGCAGCTTTTTCATCCTGTCATTTTCTGCATTACTCTCTTCTTTTGTATTTAGTTGATTCTTTTGTAGTGAAACATTTTACTTCCTTTCTCGTTTCCTTTTGTTTGTATTCTATAGATATTTTGTTTGTAGTTCCCACGGTGATTACATTTAACATCCTAAAGTTATTACACTCTAATTTGAATTTATACCACCTTAACTTCAATAACATACAAAACTCTGCTCCTGTACAACTCTGTCCCCACCCCTTTTGGTTGTTGGTGTCACAAAATTATATCTTTATACATTGTGTGTCCAAAATTAGTTCTGTTTTTTTGTTTTTTTTTTTTAAATTGGCACCTGAGCTAACAATGTTGCCAATCTTTTGGTTTTTTTCCTGCTTTTTCTACCCAAATCCCCCCAGTATGTAGTTGTATATTTTATTTAGTTGTGAGTCCTTCTAGTTGTGACATGTGGGATGCTGCTTCAACGTGGCCTGATAAGCAGTGCCATGTCTGTGCCCAGGATCTGAACCGGTGAAACCCTGGGCCCCCAAAGCAGAGTGTGCGAACTTAACCACTCGGCCACAGGGCTGGCCCCAGTTGTTTTTTTTTTATGCATTAGTGTTTCAAATTATTTAGAAAACTTAATGTGGAATTATAAAGCAAAGTTACAGTAATGCTAGCTTTGGACTAACAGTTTTTTTATTCTAAATGTATTTGTCTGTTAAATTATGTAGAACAAAAAGTAGAGCTGCAAATCACATTTACAGTAATAGTAGCTTCTGTAATTGCTCATGTATTTACCTTTACTGAGATCTGAATTTCTCCGTATAGCTTGGAGGAACTGTCTGGCATCCTTTCTTTTCACCACAGGACTCCCTTGAGCATTTCTTGCAGGTCATGTCTTGTGGTAACGGACCCTCAGCTTTGGTTTATCTGGGAATGTCTTCATTTCTCCTTCACTTTTGGAGGACAGTTTGCCAGTTGTAGGGTTCTTGGTTTACAGTTTTTTCTTTTAACACATTGAATATCCCAGCCCACTGTCTTCTGTCCTCTGAAGTTTATGATGAAAAATCAGCTGATAGTGTATGAGCATCCCTTGTGTGTGAGGAGTTACGTCTCCCTGGGTGCTTTCAGGACTCTCTGTCTGTCTTTGGTGTCTAGCACTTTGATTATAATGTGTCTTACTGAGAATCTCTTTGAGCTTTTCCTACTTGGAATTTATTGTGCTTTCAGATGCTTATATTCATGTCTTTCATCAAATTTAGTAAGTTTTCAACCATTATTCAGATAGTCTCTCTGCCCTTTATCTTTCTTTTCTCCTTCTGGGGTTCCCACAATGTGCATGTTCGTCTGCTTGACAGTGTTCCACAGGTCCGTCAAGCTCTGTTCACTCTTCTTAGTCTTTTTTCTTTCTGTTCTGCAGACTTGATAATTTCCATTGTCCTGTCTTCAAGTTTGCTGATTCTTTCTTCTGCATGCTCAAATCTGCCTTTGAATCCCTGAAGTAAATTTTTCACTTCAGTTATTGTACTTTTCAGCTCCAGAATTTTTGGTTTCTTTTTAGATTTTCATCTCTTCATAGGTATTTCCATTTTGTTCATGTATTGTTTTCTTGACTTTCTCCATGCCTTCCCTTAGTTCTTAAGCATATTTAAAACTTTGACTTTTAAAGTCTTTGTCAAGGAGTTGTGCCATCTGGTCTTTCTCAGGGATGGTTCCTGTTGATGTCCTCCAAATGTTTCTGTATTGCAAATTCTGTACAGCAAATGATGTCCTTCAGTGATGTTTCTTTTATTTTTTATTTTTTCTTTTGACTCTCCGTACTTTCCTATATCTTTATATGCCTTGTGACTTTTGTTGAACACTGGACATTTGAATTTAACAGTGTGGTAACTCTGGAACCCAGATTCTCCTCTTCCCCAGTGTGTGCTGATTTTTGTTTATTGTTTTTGTTTTTTTGATTGATGTAGGGTGTCTCTGTGCTAAGGATCAGGCTGGGATATAAACTTCAGGTCTTCTCAGGTCTTTTCTGAGTCTGTGCCTTTCCCTGGGCATGGGCAGTGAGTTTATAAATTCTCCTGTATGTGAGATTGCTTTTGAATGTCTTCCAAAAGGGAAAGAGAGAAAAATGAAAGGGGGAAAAGGCATCGGCCCTTTAAATCCCCTGAAAATCACTCCAGCTGGAGGGAGAGGGGCTCAAAGCAGTGTGGGTGGAGGGTACAGCAATGGCATCTGCCTCTGTATTTGCACCTCTCTAAACAGAAGCAGCAGTCAGCACTTGGAGCACAGATTCGCAATATTTGGAGGACCCTGGCTCCCACAGCCATATGTGGGCTGCTCCAGGAATACATGTTCGGCCTGGCTGGGGCTGAGGGCAGAGCTGGGTCTCTGCTACACTGCCAGGAGCTACAATGGGCCAAAATTCACTACAGTTTGCTGTCCAAGCCTCCCCCTGGAAGTTGCCAGCCTGCAGTAGACGCCTGAGTTTCAGAGTAGTTACTCAGATCTGTCAGTGCAGTATCGTCCTGGTCCCTCCTCCTTCACCATCTTCCCAGAATCCTACACCACCTTTTCCGTGGTTTTTTACAGCACCATCTTCTGTCTTCTTCCCTAGTGCCCGAGATTGTGAGGGAGACCCAGGACCTCATAGAACAAGGGGCGTTCCTGCAGGCCCACCGGAAGCTGATGGATCTAGAGTGCTCCCGGGACGGGCTGATGTACGAGCAGTACCGCATGGACAGTGGGAACACTCGTGACATGACCCTCATCCACAGCTACTTCGGGAGCACGCAGGGGCTCTCTGATGAGCTGGCCAAGCAGCTGTGGGTGGTGCTGCAGAGATCGCTGGTCACTGTCCGCCGTGACCCCACCTTGCTGGTCTCAGTTGTCAGGATCATTGAAAGAGAAGAAAAAATAGACAGGCGCATACTTGACCGGAAAAAGCAAACTAGCTTTGTTCCTCCTGGGAGGCCCAAGAATTGGAAGGAGAAGATGTTTGCCATCTTGGACAGAACTGTGACTACTAGAATCGAGGGCACGCAGGCAGACACCAGGGAGTCTGACAAGATGTGGCTCGTCCGCCACCTAGAAATCATAAGGAAGTATGTCCTGGATGACCTCATTGTTGCCAAAAACCTGATGGTTCAGTGTTTTCCTCCCCACTATGAGATTTTCAGAAACCTCCTGAACATGTACCACCAGGCCCTGAGCACACGGATGCAGGAACTTGCATCGGAGGACCTAGAGGCAAATGAGATCGTGAGCCTGTTGACGTGGGTCTTAAACACCTATGCAAGGTAACTCCAGCTTTACGTCTTGGGTTTTCTTTTACATAGAAACTGTGTATGAAAACATACCAACAGACAGTTTCTCAAGAGCTCCTGAGCCCTTTTGCTCCAGACAGGTGCTGGGCACCCACGGGCATTGTTTTCTGGTTAGTGAAAGTCTCCTTTCCAGGCCATCTGGGGGGGCATCCTTGAGGTCAGGGCCCAGCCTCTGGGTTGTGAATGCTCTTGTGTTGGGTGGTGCCTCTGCCCTTGACGTCCCATCTGTATTGGGCAGTTAGTTTAGCATTGGGCTCTTCTGTGCTGCTGAGGACTCACCAGGCACTAACCTGCTTCCTCCCCATTGCACTGTGAGCAGGTGGCTTCACCCTGTTGGACAGGTGAGGACATGTGGGTCCAGGAGGCCCCGTGACCTGTACAATCACTACTGCTGAGGAGACACCACCTTCCCCCTTCTAACTCCCCCGGGTTGGGTTTCTTCTCACCAGTATGCTGGAAAATCAGGCGTCCTTTTTGCATTTCAGCCTTGAGGCTCTGTCACTTCACAAAAGGGATGTGTACCACTTCATGCACATATTAGTTTGAGATAGGGTTTGAAAAACAAAGCAATGGTGGGGTATCCTAAAATTCTTTAAGATTAGCTAGCTGAGAGGAAAACATTTTAAATTTGCATGGTTTTGTGAATAGAAAACAGTATTAAGTACTGTATTGGAATTTTTTTTGTTTGTGTTTCGTTTTTTGGTAACTGTTTATAGTAGAGATATGTACATTTCAATACAGAAAACTTAAAGAGAAAGAAATATCTCATCACCCATAGGCAGTGTTGATCATTATGGCTGGCGCTTTGGGAGCCTCGCTGTGCTGGGCCTGGGCCTCCTGTGTGCTGCCCTCACTCAGCCTGTGAGTCAGCGGTTGTCAGGATCACCCATTCTAGGCCTTCCCTGTGCAGGCCTCGACTTGCACGTTGCCCCGTGTGGAAGGCACTGTTGTGATCATCTCCATTTGCTGTGTGAGGAAACTGAGGCACAGGAGTAACATGCCCAAGTTCACACAGCCAGGGAGTGGGAAGCAGGATTTGAATCCAGGCGCTGGGCCCTCACCGTGATCTGGCCACCAGACTGTGGGGTGTGCATTTGTATGCCATGCACTGTTTTGTGTCTTGATTTTGTTTTTCAGTCACCACATTGTTAGCGTTTTTCTGTCCTTGGGAATTCTTTGACAGCTTCATGTTGCTCATCACGTTCTGTCACACTGGACCTTTCATGGGAGAAGTTGAACTGCTTCAGTACTAGAACATTTTCATGCCGAATTCAGGTTCTTGGGATAAAAAGAATCTACATTAAGTAAATGGTCTTAATGTTTGCAGAGTTTTATGAAGTACTTTTTCACTCAGGAAGACCTTGGATTTCTTATCAATGGTGGACTAACTATTAATATTCAGTGTTGTCATTTTAAACACATATTTAGGGAATGCAGCATAAGGCATGTGAATTTTCCAAACAATTGAACCTTGGACTTCTAAGAACTCACCATGTACCCAAGTATTACCTGTTTTTTATGAGAACTTTTTGCAAAATGTGGTCCGTACCCCTGCCTTCTTAGGCACAGTGCACTAAGCATGGTGTGACTTCTCCATACTGACTGGTGTGTCACTGTCAGCCTCGTGTTCTCTGCTCTGGTCCTTCTCCTCCCGTGGGGACCAGCAACGTTCCCTCAGCAGCTTGTATTTCTAAACAACAGCATGGGTTTATTATTCCCCTAGTTAATAGAACGTGTCTGTTTAGCACCTCCTGTTTGCTAGGCTCTGGTCTTCCCCACGAGGTGCTGTGGATAGAACAGATCTCGCCTGCATGGGGCTCCTTTCTTGAGTGGAGCCTTCAGCACCCCATGACATGGGCACGATAGGCCAGGGCCAGGATTGAGGTGCCTTAGGTGGCTGCGCAGCCAGCATGCCTCTGCCCCTGCCCAGCACTCTCCACAAGGCCCCATCTCCCCTCCTTGACCAAGCAGTTAAGGGTGGTTGGGTATTTGTGTGTCAAAAGAAATAGCAACACTTACTTGAGAATTTTCTCTCTGTTTCCCTGGTAATTAGTCTTTCTCGCTCCTGGTTTTCGCTGTAGCACAGAGATGATGGGGAACGTGGAGCTGGCCCCAGAAGTGGATGTCAGTACCCTGGAGCCTTTACTTTCTCCAAACGTGGTCTCTGAGCTACTGGACACGTACATGTCAACTCTCACTGTGAGTAGAGCAGCGTGCAGTCATTGAAATAGGCTGAATCCAGTGTACAGATGGCTCTGTCGGCTCCCTGTGAGTCGGGCTGTAACTGATGCCAGTGGGCAAAAGAAGGCGGGCAAGAAACCCATCCTGGTGTTGGCTTCCTAGGGAACTGCGGGCTCTGTTTCTGGGAAATTGGGTCTTGAAATGTACATTTGCTAGTTAGATATGGAGAATGCCACATCTCTGGCCTTGGATCTGGAGATTGTCTAAGGTGTCCATTCTGCAGAAATGGATACCTCCTCTGGCTGGAGGAATGAGCCTGCCTGTTCCTGGTAGGGACTGTCCTGCTGATGTGCAGTGGCATCTGCCAGCTTCTTGGCACTGAGCCCAGGAGTGGGAGGGTGGCAGTTAGGGGACCAAAAGCTGCCCAGTGGCCCCAGGCAGTCTTAGGGTGAGATGAGGTCAGGGTTTGCTTCCTGGGGCAGTGTTCTAAGTGAGGCACTGAGGCCCACGCCAGGAAGCAGGCAGGGGCTCTGTGCTCCCGAGGTGATGGCAGTGGCGCCTGGCCTTTCATGGACAGGCCTACTGGAGGAGTGTTGGCCTCGGTCTTCCCAGTGCTTCTCACTAGCCTGGCCTGTCCTCCAGCGTGATGGTCGCCACAAGGTTAAGTCAGTAGAGGCTGGCGGGGGCACCACCCGCCATGGAGGTGGCTCCTGGGACAGCCTCTTTGGCATCCCCTTGTTTGAGAACAGAGATTCCCAGGGCGCTGTATTTGGCTTCCACAGCTGCACCACTGAAGAGAGGCCGTTTGGCTTGACTCAGAGGGTCCTGTTCTGTTCTTCCTTTCTCTGTGATGCTCAACTGCCCTTAGTCAAACATCATCGCCTGGCTGCGGAAAGCACTAGAGACAGACAAGAAAGACTGGATGAAAGAGACTGAGCCTGAAGCTGACCAAGAAGGGTACTACCAGACGACGCTCCCTGCCATCGTCTTCCAGGTGCCGTCTGGGGTTCCCGGGTCGTTAATGGGTCTTTAATGGGCTCCGCGGGTTTTACAAAGGAACACAAAGTGCCTCGGTTTGTAGTAAAGATGGAGCCCTGCCTGACCCCTCAGGTCCTCTCTCTTGTCTTCTTGCCAAGTAGTTTTGCCTAAAGTCACTTTGGTTTTCCTAATCTTTTTGGATTTGAACTAAAACATAATTATGTGTTATTTGTGGTTGATGCTCAAATTGGAGTTTGCTTGTTTAATGTTTCCTGATGTTGTTAATGGCCAAGATTTGTCTTCATAAATGCTGCATAACTGAGTCTAACACGATGGATTTTGGGAAGAGTCCTTTGGACTTTCACGATAATCATGCCTTCTTGCAGTTAATTTACTTTTTAGTACCCAGCCCCCTGCTGGTGTCCTCCTGTTTCCTTCCTCTTTTTTCTTCTGGCCCATTGAATTTTCTTCCTTTGAGTAATGCTGCTGGCAGGAGGGCTGAGTCTTGTTAGAATGTTTGTATAGGACTCTGTCTGGTGACCCAGGGCTTGGCTTCCAGTCGGACAGAAATGAGTGCTGGGGGGTGTCTCTCTGGGTGATGCCATCAGTTAGAGACGGATGGGTCCTCACCCTCTCCTTTCTTTTCAAAACTCTGATGTTCATAACAAGGACCTGGGGTGAGCTCTGCCTGCTGGCTGTGCTCCAAGTCCGGCTCCTCTCGGCAGCAGAGTGTATCCACTTCTTAAGAACTCCACATCACAAGTCACAGCCCAGCCCTGCACCCGTGTGACCCAAGCCACACCACCCTCCAGGGCCCCGTCTCCCTGTCGCTCAGGGAGAGTCCACATTGCCCCATTTGTGGAGACGAGCCCATGGCAGGACATTAGGGAATGGATCGCTTGGTTTTTTTACCCAATGAGAAAGGCATTTGTTTGTTTAACTAACTTTGTTATTTTTCAAGTGGTTTCATTTTTTTCTTTGAATTTGGGCTATCCTAACTACCGGTTAGCAAATGGGGTTTATATAATGAGAAACCTGAACTTTTGTGAGTTTATAGCAAAATTCATAAGTTCTCCAATTTTTAGATGTTTGAACAGAATCTTCAAGTAGCTGCTCAGATAAGTGAAGATTTGAAAACAAAGGTACTAGTTTTGTGTCTTCAGCAAATGAATTCTTTCTTAAGTAGGTACGTATTTCTGTCCATGTCCTCTTTTAGAAAGTATGTGTTTTTAAAAATTAAAAGCAAAAATTTGTTGATCTTAAAATGCCTGATATTAAAAAAGAACTTAAGCCTGGATTTGCTGTGATCACCTTTGATGTTGATATTGAGAAATGCAGGCCTTTTCTCCTTATCTTCCTTTGATTGGTTACACCATCCCCTGAAACCCTAGATGAGACCTGCCGCCGAGTCCTCCACAGCATGGCTGGCACTGCACAGCACTGGAGTTAGAGCTTCTCCTTTGGGTATCTGTCCTTCCTGTTGTCTGAATGTCCTGGGGGCCGGAGGAGGACAGCGCCAGGCACAGTGGTCACTCCACATTCCCACCACTGTGGGAGAGCACCTGGCGGAGCTGACCCTTGACAGGGGGACTTGGAGACCTTGTCTTCAGGATGCCTGACTCCCTTTGAATTGTTCCTGAAGAAGATTTTCAGACCTGTAGAGAATGGCTTAAAAAAACCATTTACCCGTCAGTCGACCAGATTCAAAAGCTGTTCCTTTAAAGCCGGCTACCCCTACCCACTCTGCTGAAGTTCTTGGAAGTGGATCCCAGGCATTGTGGCATTTCACGCCTACATGCTCTACCCCAACTGCAGTGCCGTCAGCCCACACAGACATTAGCATTCATTCCATGGGACCCTCTGACCCCAAGTTTGTATTGGGTTTTCCTGGTGGTCTCACATCTGCCTTGCTGTAGTTATGTATTCAGATGGGTTAGCAGGAGGCCTGGATCGCATATGGTCCTTTGGGGTCTTGGGTCTCTGGACAGTGGAGCAGGCCCTGCCACCTCCAAGCCACTGGCCATGGAGACACACAGATCCTCCTCCAGCCTGTCCTCAGACTGTTGTCTGCCCATGAAGCACAAGTTGGCTCTAAAGGCTTGTGGGATTACTCTTTGTGTATTTATTGTTTTGGAAAAACTTTGCTTAGGTAGTGTGTGCACACCACACTGCAGCACGTCAGGAGATGCAAGTCCCTCTGTCCTGCTCTGGCGGCTCAGGTGCTGACAGCTGTGCCCGTCAGTTGGGTTGCCCTTGGCTATCTGACGAGGAGTCATGGCTGAGTTAATCCTTTCGTTAGAGGAAATGAGGTGAAAATCTTAGGTAAAGAGGAAGTTTTCCCCATCAACCTCAGCTCTTTGATCACCTGACCCATACTTTGGACAGAAAAGTGGAGTAAATGCTTAATTATTTCCCTTTAATTGCCAATTTTCACTTTGCCCCGTTCTTAAGATCTATTAAAAATATACACAACACATCATACTAGTCTTCCAGTCCTGTGTATGTCTGAGAGTCCTCATAATAAGTTCAAAAATAAAGTATGTAGCCATCTCATTTGTTTGTTTTCTTAATGTCTAAAGAGTCTAATTTATTTTTCATTTGATTTCTTCAGGGAAAGATTTGATAGTGTTCTCAACACTATTGTATGAGTTTCTAGGCGAATTGAATGTCGGATACAATAAGAATACTTTTCCAAGTACAATGAAATATTTCAGAATTATTTATATAATCAGAATACTGAACCATATTTTAAAGCCTAATGTAAAGTTAATTTTTAATCCATTTAAAATGATCAACTCCTCTGTTCTATTAGTATAGATCTTCCAAAAAAATTTCATTTTTAGAGACTCATCTCGTTAGATGTCAGTGATACAGAATTCATTAGGCATGAGGTCAGTGTGGTGTTTGGAACCCTCTTGGTTATCCTTAACGCTGCTCTTGATGTGGGCTGTGTGTCTGCAGATACAAAGAGGAAGCTCAGCTGTATAAGGAAGAGCACCTGAAGAACCGGCAGCACCCTCACTGCTACGTGCAGTACATGGTCGCCATCATCAACAACTGCCAGACCTTCAAGTGAGTGGTCCTTACGGAAAGTGGAGCTCAGCAACGAAAGAAAGATGGGGTGAGGACACTCAGCCACTTCACTGAGCCTTCATCATTTCCTTGCAGAGAATCCATAGTAAGTTTAAAAAGGAAGTATTTAAAAAGTGAAATGGAAGAAAGTATATCTCTGAGCCAGCCAAGTATGGATGGGATTCTGGACACCATTGCGAAGGAGGGCTGCGGCAGCCTGCTGGAGGAGGTCTTCCTGGACCTGGAGGTGAGCCGGCTCTTTCCTCCTCTCATTTTCTAGACTGAAAACAGTGTTTCTATTCCACCCTCCAGCACACATACTGAACTATATACCGTGTGAGCCGTAACGTCGCGTTTGTCTCCAGTCACAGTTAAAGTGCTACCGCTTTCCTGTGACGTGGTGGCTTTGTGTGATGTGGGCCTAGAGTTTGAGTCTTTCTGATGCACAATTAAATAGGGACTCCCAGTAAATATTAAAGAGACTAAACTACTTAGTGGATTACAAAATAGAAACAAGTATATAGAAAGAGGACTGATTATATTTATGAGCAAATTCTTGATACTAAAACCAAATTGAGAACATGTACACGTGCACACACATCTCATAGGCCCGTCTCAGTTTTGAATAAAGATACAAAACAAAGTCATTAACTAAATGCATTTAGCATTGTATCAAAGGCATAACACACCATGAACAAGTAACGTTTATTTCAGAAATACAAAGATGATTCAGCATTATATAAATATATTAGCAGAAAGCAGGTACATTTGAAAAATGAAACTCTGATTGTCTCAGGCCCTGCTGGGAAGGAGGTCCTGGGAGGGTTGGTGGGGTTATCTCATGACATCTGTGACTTCCTCAGAAACAGGCTAGAAAACAAATGTGTGCATTTGAAATTATTCCAAAATATTTGAAAAGACAGTATAATAGAAAAGTAGGCAAAGGGCATGAATAAGCATTTCACAGAAAAAGGATTACAGATATCCTAAATATGAAACAAAATGCTCCATCTCACTCATCTTCTTCAAAGGAAAACAAATTAAATATTATTTGTTGCTTAGCAGGATGGCAAGGATTAAAAGCGTTGGTTCCACCCAGCGTTGCTGAGGGCCTGAGGAGAGGCCCTCCCTCATACACTGCAGAACCAGGCCAGTGTTCAGAGGGCAGTCAGGAGACAGTTGTCAGGGTTTTCCTTTGCATAGTTTTTGACCCAGCAATTCACTTTTAGGAATTTCATCTGCAGAAATATATAGATTCACTGCAGCATTCTTTATGATTGCAAAATGTGAAAAATTTTAAATGTCCATCAGAATTGGGTGACTAAATTACAGTGTGTCCATATAATGTATGTAGTCATTAAAGGTAAAATGTGCATGCACAGATGCCTGCGTATCTAACACAAGTTCATCACAGAAATTACATGTAGTATAAATCCCATATAGTTAAAGTAGGAATTTGCAGATTACATACAGTAGAGTTTTTACATGATAGTCTGTTGCTGTCGTAGTCAGAATATTAGTCAGACGTAACAAGCTGGGCTCTGCAGCTCCTCTCTCCCTATGCCCCTGACTTGGGGACAGTGTCCAGGTGGTGCTTTCTGTGGTCTGTGCTTTTCAGCAACATCTTGGTGAGCTGATGACAAAGAAGTGGCTCTCAGGGTCGAACGCTGTGGACATCATCTGTGTCACTGTGGAAGACTATTTCAACGACTTTGCCAAGATTAAGAAGCCATATAAAAAGGTAAGCATGTGGGGCCTGGTCGTGTGGTGTGAGCTCACCTGCATGCTGGAGCCCATCTGGCGTCTTGTGTAGAATTCAGTGTCGAGTTTGTTCTTTGAGTGGAAGTTCTTGGGTGGTTTTGTTAACCCAAGGCAGGTAGGAGACATCATGTCTAAAGATAAGATAGAGGTGGAGGTGATGCGGCTTCTGAGTGAAGATTGAGCGTACTCATCCAACTTTACTGCCTCCCAACACCCTGCTAAACCCATATGGCTGCAGACCTGGAAGCCTGCAGGTGGTGGGGACCCCTCAAAGGGCTGGTAGGGCCAGTGGCCATGGCTCCAGTGAGAGGGCAGGGGAGAAATGGTGGTTCTCTCTCCAGATCTCCACCTAGGGCATACTACGGGCTGCAGGCCTTTCTCTACTCCGGTAGAGGCCCCTGAGAACCCCGGAGCCCCACTGCAAATGGGAGAACGAAGGGACCACGTGCACAGAGCCCTGTGTCACTCCGCAGTCTGAGTCTTCTCAGGTCTTATCATAAAATGCGGCCATCTCCTCTTGGAGGGCCTGGGCGTCTTTCCTCTGGTGTATTCTCAGCACCTGATACAGTTTTTGCTGTCCTTGCTCTTGAAAGTATTACTTTTTCAAATCAGGCTTTCTAACTGTTTCTGATTTATAGAAATGTAAGTGGTTTTGATAGATTGACCTCACATCCAGACACTTTGTAGAGCTTTCTGATTGTTCCTAGGATTTGTCTCCAGATCCTTCCAGGTCTCTGTGTAGACGCTGGTTCCGTGGTGAACAATGACACTGTGTGTTTTCCTTTCTGGCCCTGACACCTCTTCTGTCTCATCTGCACTGGCTAGGACACCAGCACAGTGGGCATCCTTGTCTAATTCCTAGTTTTAAAGGAAATTCTTCTAATTCTGCCATTAAATGTGATACTTTTGGCCACCCTAGACTGCAGTCAAAGGAGCTGGGGTATTTGGTATTTGGGGACAAATTCCAAAAAAAAGTGACAGTTGCAGATCCATCTAACTAATTTGTCCCTTCACAACTGTCAGGAAGCCTCTGGTTAGAGTTCAGTGAGGCCAGCTCTGGCCAACTTTGAATTTCTTGTTGTTTGCACAGTTTTGAGTGACACCTTTAATTAAACATTTTGTTTAATTTAATTGTGTCTGACAAGCCTGTATGTGAATGCCTCAGACCAGGGGCTTGTTGTCTCAGCCCGGTCTCGGTGGCTCATCTCTGGTGCAGTTGGGAGCTCATGTGCCTAAAGTGAGAGCTGGGAGCCGTCAGAGCAGCATACATCCCTTAGACCCACCCTCGGCTGCAGCTCCATGTGCCTGCTGGGTGCCATCTTACTTTGTCTTGTTTAGGGCCGTTGGGGGTCCCCCCTCACTTTGGTGCAGAGAGTGGAGCCTCCTGGCCTCGCCAAGTAGACGCAGCTTCTTTTGTTTGGTCTTTGGGCTTTGATGTGGGATGATTGCCTGGTGCCAATCTCCCACGGAGGGTGGGCTCTGGCAGGAGCCGAGGTTTCCCTGTGTCCCCACATGTGGAGAGAATCATGGCCTTCTGTGAAACTTCCCCATGTGTATGGACTTGGGGTTTCTCTTTCCTCTGAAGCTCCTGTCACACCATCTCCAGAGACTGGAAGTTGAATAGCCTTCTGTGAATGAGACACAATGTGTGCACTTCACACTTCAGTCCTCTGGGCCTGTCAGTCTGTGAGGGCCGGGTCCCCAGTTCCCCCTTGAACCCACAGTCCACCCTTAGGGTGAAATGCTCAGCGACGCACACAGGTTGGGGCAGAGCGAGGAGAAGTGGACATGAATCACCCAGAGGGGGCTGTGAGCCACTGGTGGGAGTCTCAGGAAAGCAGGTGCCACAGAAGCCGTTGTGCAGTGACGTCTGCTCCACCAACAATGTGTCAGACGAGACTGCAAGCAGACGTCCCGTTTGGGGAGTCTCTTCTGTTTGCTTCCTAGATTGGAATGTAGGCAGCTATGGTGCAGTCAGTTCCATCAGGTCCCCCCGCACGGCTTCTGGCTGGTGCGTTGCCCATGCTGCAGGCGTGTCTCTGACAGCTTTCCTTTCACCATTTACTCTGTGGGAAGATAGTGACTACTGCTGTGACTTTCTAAATAAAATTCATAATGAAAATGCTTGTTTAGCTTAATATGTTTACTTCAAAATCCTGCCATTTGGGCCAGCCCTGGTGGCCTAGTGGTTAAGTCCAACAAGCTCTGCTTCAGTGGCCCGGGTTCAGTTCCCAGATGTGGACTTAACACCACTCATCTGTCAGTGACCATGCTGTGGCAGCAGCTCACATACAAGAAGAGGAAGATTGGCAGTGGATGTTAGCTCAGGGCGAATCTTCCTCAGCAAAAACAAAACAAAACAAAAAACAGAAAAATAAATAAAACAAAATCCTGGGGCCAGCCTGGTGGCGTAGTGGTTAAGTTCGCACACTCCACTTCGGCAGCCCTGGGTTCGTGGGTGCAGACCTACACACCACTCATCAAGCCATGCTGTGGTGGCATCCCACATAAAAATCAATAGAGGAAGATTGGCACAGATGTTAGCTCAGGGACAATCTTCCTCACCAAAAAATTTTTTTAAAGAAACACCCTGCAATTGGTATTAATGAGAAATGGGAGGAACGTGCTCTACCCTCTTCATGGGTTGACCTAGATTTACATTAAAGCCTTCATGTCTGCCAGAACTGACCGCTTGTTTGCTCCTCCAGAGGATGACGGCCGAGGCACACCGGCGCGTGGTGGTGGAGTACCTGCGGGCCGTCATGCAGAAGCGCATCTCATTCCGGAGCGCCGAGGAGCGCAAGGAGGGTGCTGAGAGGATGGTCCGGGAGGCTGAGCAGCTCCGCTTCCTGTTCCGGAAGCTGGCCTCTGTGAGTGCTGCTGCCCTTGCGCCATCTCAGAGTTAGCTGTGATTCACAAGGGCTACTCTGTGCTTATTTTTCAGCTTCCACCCCCAGGACTTTTTAGGGCAGTTGATCAGAATCAGTCACTTCAGGGACCAAGTAATGGTTGATTCTCGTTTTTTTGTAAATAGGAGGATCTCTGTGCAGATCTTTCTGACCTTGTGGCTGGGGGCACGTGCGCTCAGGGTGATAGCTTCTGGTGATGGTGTGTAGCCAGACCTGATGCTCATGGATCCCTGTCCCTCATGAGAGTGCTGGGGCTCATGCTCAGATGCTGATTGACTTCAAATAGGGTGCTCCCCACCCAGGCTCTCCCCACTCCATCTCGATGCTGAGTGCTCATGCAGAACGGCCCCACTGTGGGAATGAATCTTGAGGTGTTGATGTGGAAGGAAGGAGCTGGGCTTGCCAGCCACATGCCCTTGGCAGAGAGAGAGCTCAACAGAGAGCAGTGTGCATGCTGCCCATCACCACTGCACCCTGTCTCCTAGGGATTTGGTGAAGACGCAGACGGGTACTGTGACACTATCATAGCGATTGCAGAAGTTATCAAGCTGACAGACCCTTCTCTGCTCTACCTGGAAGTCTCGACTCTGGTCAGCAAATACCCAGACCTCAGGTAACTGTGTTCTGCTTCAGCTAGAATCTGTGGAGCAGCAGCAAAGTCATTCCTGAGGTCACCGGGAGTGGGAGAGTCCTGGGCTTTAGGCATGAGCCCCATAGGGGTGACGGTGCGGCGGGTCCAGGCCTTTGTGAGGACGAGTTGTGCAGATGACAACCGCAAGCAGACTGGGCTTCTGAGAACAGTGTCGGATGCAACACATCCTGTGTGCCCTCCTGCCAGGCTGCAGTTCACATACCTCCTCAGTGTCGGAGTGCGGGGGCGGGGGGCATCACCATGCTCGATGCGCTGGGTGGGAAGGTGGCAGAGCAGAGTGGTTTTAGGGAGCTTGTCTTGTGCTGTGTTTGTAGTGGGATCAAAGAAGGGAGCCTACATGCCACACTCAGCCAGGACACCCTCTCTCCTGTGTGAGAGAAGGGCCTGCCCACCGTGCTTGCTCCAGGCCCCCACCAACCTTCGTGAACACACCCAGGATGCCTGGCAGCTCCTCTTTGTGCTGTTGCTCTGGGCCTGCATGAAATGGGAAGAGCCGGCGGTCCTGTTTGCCCTCTACAGCCCTCCCACTCTAGTTAGGCAGTCTGATAAACACATATTTAGAAAAGCAACGTTTAAAAACTTTGCAATTGTAGATTGAACAAAAAGAACACAGTAAGATGAAAACTCAGGCTTCTCTCCCTCTGGCATGACAAGGGAGACTTGCCTTTTATCCACAGCCGTTGATGCCCGTTTTGGGGCCTTCAGTATTGGCCATGGGGGTGAGCGGCTGTGGGTATATCCCTGACGTACCCCTGACGTCTCTCACCCCGTCCTGCAGGGATGACCACATCGGTGCACTGTTGGCTGTGCGAGGGGACGCCAGCCGGGACATGAAGCAGACCATCATCGAGTCACTGGAGCAGGGCCCAACGCAGGTGAATCCCAACTACGTGCCCATCTTCAAGGACATCGTGGTTCCCAGTCTGAACGTAGCAAAGCTCCTCAAGTAGCCTGTTGGTTTCCAGCCTGTGTGTGTCTCTGCCCTCATCGTCCCACACTGGAAACGTAGGGCAGCGGAGTGACTCATGGACCCATGAGAGACATCTTGGTTCCATGTACCTGCCTCACAGTGCCGAGTGCACTGTTTCTTGAAGAACCAGCACTCTGCTGGCCTGGGTCTTCTGGCTTCCTCGTTCCATCCTCTTGAGGCAGGGTTCTGGTGCAAAATGCCTTGTGGTAGTTGTCTTCACTCCCCTCTGGGCCTTCCCTCACTTCTGCAAAGTATAAACACTTCTGAAACTCTGCTGCTTAATAAAAGAGTCTAAACGTCTGCAGGGAGATGAAAACTTCCCAGTTGGAGGATTTTCTTACTAGTGATGATCTTATGATGCCCAGAAACTGCTTGGTTGTCAGATACGTTATTTAAAGGTTGCTCTTCGGCTTGGGCGTGGGGCCTGTGTCCAGTGGCTCAGCGTGCAGCCCCCTCTGCTGATGTCCCTTGTCTTGCGCTGCGGGCTCTTATATGCTGGGCCCCCGCCCTGTCACCCTACTGCTGGGGTCCAGCTGGGGTCCCTCAGGCAGGCTGCTCCACACCCTCCCAGGAAGCAGACCCGAGAGCAGACGGTGTAGCAGGTAAGTCGTCACTGGTGGAGGGCGATGCCGAGAGCATCAGGTCTGGGAGAAGCATGTGTGAGTGTGAACCTTTATCTGCTGCATGTTTCAGGCTCTGAGTTGTGCTTCCTCCTGACACACGGCCCTGGCAGCGCCCTGTCTTGTTCAGTCATCTCTCCATGGCATCTTCCTTCAACGGCAGCCTCATTTTGCACATTAGTCTTCAATTTTACAGATTAATTAAAAAGTTACACGGTGAATGAACCCTTGAGCCCCTGTATGTGCGTCCTGACCCTCCTCGTGCCGCTGAGCAGTGGACGGGATTCTGAGCCAGGCCGGGGCTCTGCTTTAGCCGCGGGGCTGACTAAACGGGGATGGAGGTATGGCCTGCTCCCCCATCGGCAGGTTTTCTCCATCCTTGTTTCAGGGTCCCCAGGGACTGGCTGGTTTGGTTGCGGGACGGCAGCCTCCCTCCCCTGCGGGACATGTTGTGCGTGCAGTGCTGGGCCACTCTGAACTTTGTGTGGAGTCCTCGTGGGCACAGGCTTGATTTCCTCTCAAGACACCTTCGAGATGGCAAAGTGGATATTGTGTTTTTATTTCATCCTCACAAGATGTGAAAAATTCACAAGTAGTACTTTTTCTTGAAAAACTCAAATCCTAAGTGAAATTAAGTAACTAAAAATTAGATGCAGTTCTTGTATTACTGGCTCAGAAAAGAGGTAATCTTTTAAGACATCTAGCTAATGTGCTGTCTCTCAGTGCACATATTAATCCAGCTCCCCACTTAGTGATGCACCTTAAACCATGCCTAGCATGTAGTAAGTGCTCAGTGGATATTTTTTGAATCAATGAAATTAATCTTAATCATTAATTATCGCCCCTTATCATAATAAAAATACGTTTATTTTTCCACTGGCTGAGAGAATTTTCACTCCAAGTTGCTTCTGGAATAAATATCCAGGGTGAATATTCAGATAATAACGACAGACTGCAGTGGTGACTGTTGTCCTTCCATTGTTCCTGCTCTGATTATGTGACGGTCACTGATCACGCCCACTTTGGGGACACCTGCAGTAACTGAGCATTGCCTGCCTGAGCTGAACGCCAGATGTCAGCACGTTCCAAACAATTGGGACACGTGACTATGGGAGCAGTGAGGCAGCCAGGATGTGTGGAAAGGATAGAGGGGCCACAGTGGAGGGCGATTTCATAGTGGTTGGGCAGTGGTATCCATGCTGACACCCAGGGGAGGGTCATCTCCAGGCTGCTGGTCAAGAAGCCAGTGGGCACCCATGCTGAAGGCCGGTGCCTACCTTGCATAGGCTGCCAAGTGCCCGTCGGGGGAAAGGGGTTTACCAGGCACCCTGCAGGCTGTGCTAGGAGCCAGGTTCATCTCGTCGGGGACCACATCTCCCCCTCAAGGCTTCGGGTTGTTCTCTGTAACATTTTGCTATTGAGCTGAAAGAGCATCTTTCAAGTTAGGGAATTTCCTTGACTCTCAGTTTTATTCATTGGGTTTCCAGAAAGTGGGGGAGAAGGGACTTCTGCCTGCATTTGTTTAACTGATGAGAGGCATGGAGCACTTGCCAGGTGAGCTGTTCCTCACCTGGCTGCTGTCCCCTTTGTATCTGCTAACACAGAGCCCAAGCTGCTGTAACAAGGACACCCCAAAACACAGCCTGAAAGCATGGGGGTTTCTATCCAGAGGAAATCAGTCGGGGCTGATGGGCAACGCCAGGGCTGCTGTCTACACTGGGGCTTCCACCTGCTCTCCCTCACCCTCCTGTGTAGGACACGCCATGACCAGGGATGCTGCCCCGAGACGCAGAGTGAGGAGAAGCCAGAAGGGCTTTCTCTGGCAGCCAACCCGGGAAAGTAGGGGTGGGGAGGCCATAATTTGATGTGATTGTGTCCTTATAAGGCGACACCATGTGATCGGGTCAAGGAGATGCTTCTACAAGCCTAGAAGCAGCAGAGATTGCACAGGCTGGGAGGCCCCCTTGCAGGTTCAGAGGGAGCCCTGCCCACACCTTGATTTCCTACTCGTAGCAGTATGTTTCTGTGGTGGTAAGCCACCCAGTTTATGGTACTTTCTTATGGCAGCCCCAGGAGCTGAGCACGCTCCTGTCAGACTTTCCTTTCTGTCAACTTGGAAATGACTAAACTTAGTAGTCAGACTTCTCTTCTGAATAGTTTCAATGACTCAACATTGATGTGCTATTTTTATAAACATTTAAAATTTTAACTATTAAAAGGTGTATCTCTGTGACACTGAGGCCTCAAGGATGACCTGTTAGAGATGACCGCCAGCCCCAGGTGGCTCCATGGTGAGAGGGCTCCACCTGGGGGAAGGGATCCCCCAGGATCCACTGGACATTTAGGGGCAGGTGCACAGCTCCATCTTGGGTCCACCCACATCTCTGCCTCCCCACCAGCCTCGTCTCAACTCTGCAGAACACCCGCCTTGTTCACTGAGGCTCTGGACCCCACTGTCCCCACCCCCATCTCTTGTCAGCCCTGGGCCCACCACCATGGAGCCACTCATGCCTCAGGTGCTTTGTCCTCCCACTCAGGCAGGGTGAGTGCTGCTCCTGCTCTTCCTGGGGGCCTGTCCCCTGCATGCAGTGACGTGTCTGAGTGGCATGTGTCCACCTGTCTCTGCTGGGGAGAGCCAGTTCCCAGGGCCCAGGCTGTGCCCACAGCTGTGTGTCCAATGACCTCCTCTCGGCAGCCAGAAGGGGCGACACACACACACACATACATCGACATTAATTTTGGTGCCAGAACAATGTCTGCCTGCAGGAGACTGCTCCTTAAATTCTCTTTGATAAGATTTCTCATTTATAAACCAGGGTTTACACCCAAAAATGTCTTGAAACATTTTTAATAGACTTGATCAAGCAGTCATGGCAGGGTCGGTGATGGGCCCCCTGCCCAGACACTGCCAACAGCACTTCTAGGGCGGCACTTTAAGGCACATTGATTGTGATTACAGTTACACAAAGTTTGACTAAGATTACGTTCACAAAATTAACATTCACAATTTTCACCACTTATAACTTAAAATACATTTCAATTCCAGTTTCAATGCAATTCTTTAAATCTCCTTTCACAACAGAAGATCAATAGTACACAGTATGGGAGCACTCTAACAAAATTTTTTTCAAGAAAACACAGAAGTGAGAAATAGCGACTCCTAAATTTGTGTACTTTATGGTCACCACAAAGTAGGCCAAAGTTCAGTATTAAATAAATAGGAATTCTTTCCTAATAAAAAATGTTACAACAGTTTTCCCAAGGAAATACATTCATAAGACTTTGTTTACATTCTGTTTTACAATGACAAGAACAGTTAGGATTCTTTCATGAAATGTGGCCACAGTTCTAGGGTTTATAACACTGTGTCAACAGACAAAACACCGAGTTCTCTCTCGAGCACTGAAATGTGGGATTCTGTGAATGAGGTTTCCTGCCTGGAACTTCAGTTCCATCGTGGCTGTGCTCAGCCTGTGCAGTTCAACAAACAGAAAATCTGCCAGCCCACCACAGAAAACATTGGCCAAAGAGCTTGTCCAGGAGACATCTGTCAAACGGATTCACCACCTGGCAGTTTAGTGTCTGGTGTGGAGGAGGGTGTCCAGGAATTCCCTGGAGCCACTCTCCTGACTCAGCCGCTGGCTCTGCAGCTGGGAATCGGATCCGGGTCCAGTGGTCCAGGGGAGTTGTTAAGGCAGCTGGAGACACTGGACCGGCTGGGCTGTGGACCCTGGACAACCCTCTGCGGCAGGACCCGGCCTGCTCTGGAGGAAGCACTCGTGCAGGGAGTGGACGGAACATGTGCCTTCCTAAAGATGTGACTGGTTGCTGTGTCAGCGGCAGGCTGGCCTGGGAGCTGTCCGTTGGGATCACTAACGGGCAGATGTTTTGTGCAGATAATGTCTGGATTTTGTGCTCACAGAGTGGTTAAAATGGTTGCAAAGTGTGGGGAAAAATTACTGACAACCACACGCCATTCATTTATGATGGCTGAGCTAATGCTTCAAATAATGAGATTGGCTCCAGTCAGGGTGAAGGGCTCCCTCTGTGTTGGGAACAAACGCCACAGGCTGGATTAGAGGTCACCACAGTGACTTTTCCTCCTGCTGCCATTTGTTTTCCTCAACAGCAAACTTTAGAGACTTCTCCATCAGGGACATAATATGCACTATTACAACACTACAGGCTGCTAGACTTCGGCCACTGGAACTCCCTCAGAGCACAGCATGAATTTCTTTCCTGACCAGAGCTGAGCCTGGCTTCTTTAGAAAAGCATCTAGGAGTATCCTGAAGTCCACTGTCCCTTTAATACTTTACTACCTCTTTCTCCCACAAAATGCTAGGTCTAAGGAATGGGCCAGGGCAGATGAGGGCCAACTCAGCAGTCCCTTCCCTGGCTCACTGTGGCAGGCCCCTTCCCCCTACCCTCTCGACTGCTACCCCAGGACAGCCTGACAGTGGACCAGGGGGCTCTGTGCAAGGCCATGTCTCTGAGACCCTGGAGGGTGTAGGAGTGGGCCTGTGCTACCACATCCTCAGAGCAGGCCCAGGGGTCCTGTGAGGGTCTCAGCCCCTGTCCAAGTCCCTTTGGCTGTCCATGAAATACCAGCTCCTGTAGGCAGGTTTTCCACCAGCTCCTCCCCTGCTGTGGTTAGGATGGGCCAGGGCAACCATCTGGCCCAGGTATGTTTAAGGACCAGCTGTGATTCTAAACAAGAGCTGCTTGCTAAGTGAACACTCCACTCTGCTGGAGCTGTGTGGACACACCCACACGGCCAGTGCAGCCTCTAACCCAGCCTGAGCCATCCACCACTGTCAGGTGAGACAGCTCAGGCCAGAGACCAGGTGTTTGGGGACAGAGCATCACCTGGGGCCTAGAGGCTGACACACGAGACCGAGGTAAATGCAGAACAAGTGTTGGGCTCTGGGATGAGAGGAACAAAACAAAGATGTTTCTGCTATCCTACCTACAGCCCGCAAGGTGACAGGTAGTTCAAAGACCTGGTAAGTGGACATGGGCCTCAGACACGTGTCCCCAGCCCCTCGGCCTGTGAATCGCTTGCTCCTGGAGTCGGGGCTCCAGACCTCCCTGGGGCTGAGAGGCGTGGGGATTTTGACAGAGGTTGGCCTGGGCCTGGAATCTTGGGTGGGTACGAAGTTGGGCAAATCTCATTTTGTTTGGGTCTCAGTTTACCCGGCAGTGCTAATGAGAGAATGGACACAAAATGGCAAGAACTCAAACACGGAGCCTGGCCTCTCAGGGCCCAGGGCCCTTCCTGTCCCTGAGTCAGGTGTGACAATGGAAACAGTAACACACAAGTGCCAGCTCAGTTCAAAACCAGGACAGGTGGACAGAAGGACCCACGATGGAGTCTCCTGGCAAGGGCACCTGCCCAGACTTCCCAGAAGTTGGAGGAAGCCCGCCAGCGTCTACTTCCCGCCAGCAGCGGCCTCTCCGCAGGCGGCCCCAAGGAATTCCCAGGTTGGAGCCTTGCAGCACATTTGGTCCTCGGGGCCCATTCTAAACCACGCCCGGCTGGCTGTCCGATCCCAGCACCTAGACTCGGAAGGGACGAGCGCCCAGGGCTACTCGAGGCCACGGACAGGAGGACCCCGGGACCAGGCCGTGGAGGGGACCACATGAAGAGCCCGCGGGCAGCCGTCACAGCGGCGTCTCCTCCTGCTCCAGCGCGTGCGGCGGCGCGTGGCACGACGGCGGCAAAGACGCGAGCTTGAGCAGCGCGGGGCGGCGGCGCGCGCGGGGGCGCTGGAACGAGCGCCGGCTGTGCACACGGCGCGCCGCCGCCGAACGCGCGTGCGCACCCGGCAGCCCGCGGCGCTCCAGCCCCGCCCCCGGCGCAGGCCCCGCCCCCGGC